GATGAAGGGTCTATCATCTTTAATCGATTAAAGTCTGTAATCTCCTACAAAACAGAAGAAAAGCCAACTTTTTCCCTTAATACCATTGCAAGTGCTGAGAGCATGAGTATCTATGATGATGCTGATGCTGATGTGATGCAAAATTACCAAGAATACAATTTGGCCAACATCTTCTACTACTCTCTGAAGGAGTCCACCACCAGTGAGCAGAGTGTGAGAATGACAGCTGTGGACAAGGCCAGCAAGAATGCTTCTGAGATGATTCACAAAACTGACTCTGACATTCAACCGTAACCCACCAAGCTGTCATCACAAAAGAGTAGACTGAAATTATCTTGGTGCTGCAGCTCTGGCTTAATGAAATCAAGTTCCATCCTCAGACAAGAAGGAAAATTGAACCAGCTGATTTTATTTTTAGCTTACTAATGTCTCTGAAGAAGCATGGTGTACTGTTTGGTGTACTAAAGACAGCAAGATATTTGCAAATTATCTTACAATAAACAACTTCCAAGAAGAAATAAAAAGCTATGAGAAAATACTGTGTTTCTATTTAGGAAAATTTTACATAAGCCTCCCCAGAGCCATGCTTGTCCTCTACAGACAATATTACTACTTGCTAATATTCAAAAATCTAAATAACATTATCCCTGGATATATCTTTCCATGGAAATGCTTCCTATAATCAAAAAATCTAGAATGCCATATTCATCAGGACAAATAGTCCAGTCTCCTCAATACAAATACAAGAAACCCAAAAAGGATTGGAGAAACCTAAGAGTAACACCTAACAGATGCTATCAACCAATCCAATGTGTGGTCCTTACTTGCATTCAGCTTCAAACCAACCGACTTCAAACAAAAACCCTTTTGAGACAATTGAGGACATTCAAATATCGCCTGGACAAGCTGATGCTATCAGTGAATTACTTGGGTGTGATAACGGTATTGCGGTTACACTGATGGAAGGTTTATCTTTTAAAGAAATACTCAAAAAAATTATGGATGAAAGGATAGGATGTACAAGATTTGTCAGAGGGTAAAGAAGAAACTAAGGAGGCCCAGGCAGGGAACATGTAACTGAAGGTTAATCACTCAAACCTCCCTGCCACTGTACATGCTTGGAAGTTTCCATTTTTAAAAACAGTTTTAAAAGCTTACAAAGGAAAAAAAAAAAAGGAAAGAAAGAAAAGTAAAGAAACCCACTTTGGCATATGGCACAATATATCATACACAACAGATACCTTGACTAACACAGTAATAGTCCCTTTAACTTTCAGAATTATCTGTCAGAATCATGACTTCATATATAGGATAGCTACACACGGCAAGACCACAGTAGTTGAAGGAAAGGAAATCTCCTAAACTTCATTTAATCCCCTTCTCTTTGCCTGGATTTTTGGAACTGACACTGCTTCAGTGGCTGAGTAAATCCTTACTGGCTCAAAACAGCCTGAACTGCTGATTTCAACAAACTCATGTTCGCATTCTGAGGACAAACAAGAAATCAAGTTTCTATCCAGGTAAATCTTGACTATGTGTAGGTAGTTGAGCAACAGGGAACTGAGGCTGAACTGAATTTCACAATGGGTCTTCAAATCCTTTGTCTTTCCCTACATATTTTTTGGAGGGTGGGGAGATGGGATAAATGTTTATATTATTAGCTATCACCTATGTAAGATCCTTGCAGCGTATGTATATATGGAATCAGTAAGTGCTTAAAACGTACTTTAATAATCTGGAATCTGCTATGAAAAACAGCCTTTAAATGTAAATTATTTTTGCAGAAATTCCAGGCAGGTGTCATTAGCAATGAGAGCAAGCTTACCATGTAGGCTGCAATCAGGTGCTAACCCCTGAACGTCTTTCCTAAACGTGTGGGAAAGACGATTCACGAGCTGCACACACTTCCAGTACAATACGGTGAAGGGCAGGCACAAATCCTCAGGAGACGCTACTTATTTTACCTGGATGCCTGCCTGGTTAAATCCGACTGCCTTTTATTCCATTCTTTTCTCCAAGCCCCTGGATCTTCTGCCTAGGGTTACTGAATCCAAGTCAACACGAAAGCAGCAGGGGCGTCCTACATGGACAGTCTGCAGACAGGGCAGAGTTCCGGGTCACGGGCTACACTCCAGCTTACGGGCAGGTACCTCTCACGAGGTGCCGACGTGGACCGCCAAGACGGGGCGTTCTAGAATATTCCCGCCGCGCTGGAAACCACCTGCCGCCCCCGCTCTCCACCGCGGCCACCTGCAGGCGTCCCGGGCCCCTAGACCTGCACCGGCTCTCTCTTCCCTGTCCGCCCCGCCGGCCTCACCGCCCACTCCAGTAAACCCAAAACTTGTTAACTCGCCGGTAAGCTCCCCACCCCTCTTACCTATCGGGTCCTCGCCCCAGGTCTGTGCGAGAGGCCGAGCTCCCACGCAGGTTCCGGAATTCCCGCTGCCGGAGGGCGGCCAGGTAGCGGCTGTGCAGCCAACACCTACGTCGAGGCTGCAGCGTTGTCCGGAACCACGAGCGGGGACAACGAAAATCCCGCGGAGGCGCAAGGCACGGGGCTGTGCCCCCACCCCACCCGATCTGTCGCCGCCTCTTTTCCTGAGGTAGAGGCGGTGCGCGGCCCGGGTCTGGGCTGTGAGCGTAGCACCACTGCCGCCAGGCACTTCTGTTGGTACGCAGAGGCCCCGCGCGGGCGCGTGCGTCCCGGAGCGCTTGCGGACCTCGGGTCGAGGAACCTGCCTCCCGGCCTGCAGGGCTGCGGGGCGGAGGGCGCGGGCTTCTGTGCCCGTAACCTTAGCTCTGATGGGATCTCAGCGTCTGCGACCCGTAGGAAGGCTCGCATGGGGCTTGCGATGCGGCTCAGAAACTACAGCCCGAGGGGCTTCGGGCGCGCTTTTAATTTCTATGGGCTATTCGCGGCACCCAGGGCTCCATCCAGTCTGCCAGGGCTCAAGAAAACGAGTCCTCGACCGTGGATGCTCCGCACAACTCGGGAGCGATGTGGCTTTTAATCCCAGCCGCGGTGTGGACAGGAGCCCGGGACCCAACAGGAGTCCGGGAGGCTAGATACACAATCTCGGGGTCCGGGCCTGGGATCCCCAGCGGCTAACCCCGCGCTGAGCGCATTGCGGCCCGGCCTGGTCACGGCACGCGTACGAAGCGCTCCAGTCGCGCCCTCCGCACAGCCCCGCGCCGGCTGGCAGCCTAGTCAGCAACCGGGAGCCCCGCAGGTGCTAGATGTTAGGGGTGAGTTCGTATTGGCGAGCACCTGGTGACCGCGAGCCAGCCACCGGGCCATTCCCACCCGAAGACCGCACCTGTCCGCGCGGTCGTGGCGCTTCTGACTAGGTGAACCCCAACAAAGCACCCTTTACGATGGACTGGGTGACAGCGTTTACTCTGGCGCTTTCTAGGAATTTACTGTCCCCATAGTTCCGTTAAAATGAGGCGCTTGCGGCCGGCCTGGGCCGGCCCGGACCCTCGGTCACCTACGTTCGTGGCCGTGCTAAGCTGGAAGAAAACTCGCAGGGCGGTCCGCACGGAGCTCAGCCACCACCTTGGCCTGCGCCCGGATGTCGTTTGCTGCTGCCGGGGCCACTTTCAACAGGGAGCGGGAACCTGAGCGGGCGGGACCGTGGCGCGAAGGGGCCCCAATCTGCTCCATTTGTCCCCCAGCTCTTAGGTGAGTGTGCTCGGAGGGGTGAACTCGGGACCCTGGGCGACCCTCTGCGGGCGGAAGCAGCAGGTGCAGAGGCGACCGAAGCCTGGCAGGCTCGCGTCTGGGCAGCTACGCAGGGGCGGGTTTGCAGCTTTCCAGGATGGCCCTGGAACGGCCCGAGGCCGGAGCGGGTGGGGATGGCTAGGAAGCGCGGGGCGAGGATGCGCTCTGGATGAGAGGGCACGGGAGCAGACGTGGGCCCCCTCTAGGAAAGCGTTCCCCCGCCCTGCTGACAGGAGCAATGAATCGCAGCGAGTGAGGAGTAGAGAAGGCGGACGCCCAAGGGGCTCGCTCGCGTTTTGTGGCCCAGAGGGTTAAGGCTCCTCTTGCGATGACAGCTGGAGTCCTAGCAGCAGAAGATGGCCGAGAGCTCGGGCTCCTGCACCCACGTGGGAGACGCGGGTGAAGTTCCAGGCTTCTGGCTTGGGTCTTTTGGGGAGTGAAAGCTGTCGCTCTCTCCCACGCCCCCCCCCCACTCATGCTCTGCCTTTTAAATAAATATATGAAAGCAAACATTTTATTAAAAAGAAATAAAGAAAGCAGCGCGCGGTGAAGCTCCGGGGCAGTGTGTGGCTTGTAGAGATTCGCTTTCCTGCGGGCGAGTATTGCATGGAGTGCTTCTCACCTGTGTTCCTTCCCCTCTGCCACCTGAAGCCTAGTAACAGCAAAACCTTTCTGGTTTAAAACTACTTTTAAAAATTAACTTTTTAAAAATATTTATTTGTTCGAAAGGCGAAGTTAGGGAAACAGAAAGCGGTCCTCCACCCACTGGTTCACCTCCCAGATGGCTACTATGGCCAGGAGCCATCTGAGTCTCCCATGTGGGTGCAGGGGCCCAAGCACTTGCTTTCCCTGGCTATTAGCAGGGAGCTGACTCAGAAGTGGATTCGCCAGGACTGGAACCAGCACCCACATTTGATGCCGGCATCACTTAGCTGCCAAGCCACAACTGCAGCCCCCAAAGTGATCTTAAAGTGCTCTCCCGCTTATTACAGAAAGAAGAAGAAGAAGAAGCCTTTAGAAAGAAAATAAATGGAGGATTTACTTGCTCCAGTTATTTTTCTAGCGGTTTCAATTCTAAATCTGTTCTAAAAACCAGGACTCTCGTACCACAAATATTCGTAATTATAAAAGCCATACCAAAATTAGTTTCCGGTATCTATAGTAAATATGAATTGTAAAAATAAATTGTATCATTGGAGGAAAGAAGATACGTTTTAATAAGGATTTCCATTTAAAAAGTGAATAACGACAGGGTAGCACCGAATTTTAGTGTAGCATTTTTATTTCTCCTATAAAGCTAGGCATATTGTCACCACGTCTCCGTGAAAGATGGCACGTCAGACACACAGACAAGAAATAAACGTTCCAAAATGAAAAATTCTACTTGTGTTAAGTGGCACGGGGTGGGGGTGTAAGCATTTTGCGCTTGGCTCCAAAGCAGTACTTGCAGCCCTGGGAAATGAAGACGGGGCAAGGTGTTTTGCACTGGAGACTGCTTGCTTTTAACACCGGAACGAAATACTGCACTAGCGTTCATAATTCCTAGGGAAATGTGCAAGTCGGAAAGGCCATGGAAGCCGCAATGAAGGTGGGAAAAGAAAAGGCGAGACTTACGTCTTCCAAAGGTTGCCCTCACGTTGTCTATAAGGGGTCGGAATCCGGTGTTCCTGTGATTTTTGAAACGAACAAAAGTAGCGGTTGCCCCAGCTGCGGGATTCAGACGCGCACACCCGGTCCTGGCTATGCTGAGACATGCGCCCCGTCTGATGGCTATGGGAGCTGAACTTTTGAGTCAGTCACTCAGCTGTCTCGCAGTCTCCAGGTGCGCCCTGCGGGGCTTGGTAAAGGACGGAGACGGAGTACCCTCAGAACGCTGGCGAGGTTCCCTCCCCGCCGGAAGGAGCGGCCAGCGACATCAGTCTCGAGCCTTCTTCCGCGCGCTGACACTCCAGCAGCGCCGTGGCTGCCGACAGTTGCCGGCCCAGGGGCGCGCCGTCGCTGGGAACGCAGCCGCCGGCGCAGGTCTCTTCCTCCTCCCGCTGCTGCTGCTGCTGCTGCTGCTGCAGGAAGGTCCGCGCGGCCGCGGCGGCTGCCGACACGTGCAGCAAGGGGGCAGCGGCCTGGGCGTGCACCAGGCACGACGGGCGCTGCAGCAGATGGCAGTAACTCCACGGGGTCGCCGGCAGGCTGGGCGCCGTGCCTGCACCCGCCTCCCTCACCCCTTTCATGATACTCTCGATGCTGAAGGAGGTGCAACCGCCCCCCGGCCGCGACCCCGGGCCTTTGCCCTCCTCCCAAGGCCGGGAACCCTGCGAGGGTTGCACCACCCGTAGGCCACCGGGGGCCGCCGCGTCCGTGCCTTCCGCCTTCCTCGGACGGTCCACGTAGGCCGGGGCCGACAGCAGCAGGTAGCGAAGGGGATGCGGGTGCAGCAGCGCGCACGGGCGGCTCCCGGGGACCGCGGTGGGGAAAGCTCCCGGGACGGGCGGCGGCGGGGCTGGGGTCCCAAGGAGGAGGCCCGGGTGGGGACCATGCAGAGCGGTGGGCGCGGCGGGCAAGGGGAAGGGGTGGTGCGGGTGGGCTCCAGGGGGCGGCTGGTGACGCTTGAAGCGCTTCCTGCGTCGCAGGAAGCTGCCGTTGTCGAACATGTCCTGGGAGGCTGGGTCCAGACTCCAGTAGTTGCCCTTGCCGGGGTGGCCCGGCTCGCGGGGGATCTTGACGAAGCAGTCGTTGAGCGAGAGGTTGTGGCGGATGCTGTTCTGCCAGGCGGGGAACTTGCGGCGGTAGTAGGGGAAGCGGCCGCTGATGAAGGCGCAGATGCCGCTGAGCGTGAGGCGCTTGTGCGGGCTCTGCAGGATGGCCATGGTGATGAGCGCGATGTACGAGTAGGGCGGCTTGGCGGGCTGCGGGGACTCCCCCAAGGCCGCCACAGACCTCGTCGGTGCTCTGAACTTGGTGCCAAACTGCGAGAGGTCGCTGTGGTTGCTGCTGCCTTCCGTGCGCTCTCCGGGATGCGCGCCCGCGCCTCGCAGAGCTCCCTGCAGCCCTGGCGGCCGAGGCTGCTCTAGGAAATTCTGGCTTCCCTCCGCCTCCTCGTCGTCCTGCTCGTCGTCGTCTTCATCTTCCTCCTCTCCCAGGACATCGATCTCACCTTCCTCTCCATCAGAGCCTCGGAGGCTGCGTGGCGGCGTGGAGCGAAGGCACTCAGCGCTCGCCAAGTTCATAAGGAAGCAGGTGCTGCCGACGCAGAGGCGTCGGACTGGGCTGGCAACCTGGGACAGGTGTTCCAAGAGGCAGGAACGTTCGTCTTCTGCGTGTTTCTCCTTTCCGACAGCATCCAGCCAAGAGCCCTTTTGCCTTGTGTTGACGCTTCTCTGTAGACGTAGCGTGCGGGACTCCCCTCTTTATAGCTCTGCTTCCCCTTCCTCCAGCGGCGCCCGGTTCTCCTGACTCCCTGACGCCGTCCAATGGTGAGGGTCCCCAGTGCAATCCTCGCCAGGAAGGCCCCCGCCCCTCCTCCCACTTCTCGCCACCGGCCAGAGGCAGGTGCTTCACTCCGCGGGCTTAGTCTGTCCAGTCGCTGCTTCATGAATGCGCTTTAAAAGCTGCGCCGAATAAAGACAAGGTAGAACTGGATACTCAACATGTCTGGTTCATCACGCACTGTCAACGGTGGGTGGATTCTGCCCGCATTCAGAATGAGGAGGGCTGGAAGTATTCTTAGTGTTCTGACTCTATCCTCAGCTCGAGGGCAGTGTCAGGAAGCTGTTGCGTTGTGCTCACTCCTTTCCACCTCTTCCCTCGACATGCTCTCCCTGACCCAGATTTCCTGGAAAGTCCTAGCACCAAGTTGTGGAAATTCAGGGTTTGGAAGGAAAGCAGGAGGGGAAAAGCGGAGTTCCCGGTCCCTTACAGCAGTGATTCTGGAACTTCTTTGTACATTTAACCCACAGTAAGAAATATATTTTATACCACAACCTTGAAGATACACAGACACATGCCTAAAACGGCTTTCACAAAAATAATAAACCTGCAACAGAGAGATCATTGGTATTTAATGGCCATCACCAACTAAACTGGTTTCACCACAGAAACCCCATTTTCACAATGTGGCTCCACAATTGGAAGAGATGCACTCAGTATGGGCTCTGGCTCCCTCTGATAAATGTCTCTAGTTAAATCACTGTGTCATTCAGTGTGCACACTGCAGAAGAGGGGATGATGGCAGTCTTTCTAACTCACTCATCTGGCATCCTTGGAAGTTAGCAAGGTCTTTAGATTGACTTCATTTAAAGGAGTAACTGAATAAGCTCTATAGTGGAATATAATTTGTTACAAAATACCAAGCCTCAGAACAGTCACAATTTAAAACCCGCACACTTGGCGAAACACATTGAGGTGGCATTCAATAAAAATGCAACATAAAAATATTATGCCATTGTCCAACAGTAAATCTTCCATTAGTGTTTGTGACATGACACTGAAGTTTCAGTGAGAAATCAGAAGCCATCTCTAAGGGTAAAATATAACAAAAGCTGCTTAAAGTAGTGCCTTCTGGATCAAATTTGGAGAACAGTTCCTTGCAAGTCTTTTTTTTTTTTTTTTTTTTTTAAGCCTTATCCTCTATTCCCTCTATTTACCCTCTTAGGCTCTCCAGTTTTATGCAGCTTGAAATAGGACAATTAACAGAAGGTTTGAGCCTAACAGTTTTGCTTGAATCTCAGATTTACCAGCAACTACTGTGACCTACTAAACAGCTCCAGGAGGGCCAGGACAGGTGTTTAATTCAACCTCCCTTCCCCGAAACCTCCTTTCTACCCCCTGTAGAAGAGGCACCTTTCCCCCATCAGCATAGGAATTCCATCCCAGGGCAGGCCAGTATTGTTAGTTGTCCGAAAGTTACCTTCTATGGGGATCTGGGTTATTTAAAAGTGAAAGGAAAGGAAAGATGTACTCAAAACAAAAAGTCCCATACCAATTGGGGTGTGTCTAAGGGAGCATGCCCAAGGCTGGGACACTTTAAGCAACAAAATAAAGTAGCATTGGATTATAACCCAAAGTATAAAATAAATATCCATGTGTACACAGTGATAATAAATAAATTAATGAGGAAAAAGAGGCAAATCTCCTTTGCAGAAGACTTGCAAATCATGTGGCTGCTCCAGCCTCAAGGAGATGGAGTATGGGTTGCACACAGTGACGTCCTGCCAAACAGTATGGTGATGGTGTGCAGTGGAGAAAACTGACAGCCCCTACTGTAGCCAGGCAATCATGTGATGAAGGTCACCCTCACAAATTTTTTTAAAAAGATTTGTTTATTTGAAAGGCAGAGTCAGAGAGAAGCAGAGACAAAGAGATCTTCCATCTGCTGGTTCACTTCTCAAATACACACAAAGGCCAGAGCTGGGCTGATCCAAAGTAGGAACCAGGAGCTTCTTCCGGTCTCCCACATGGGTGGCAGAGGCCCCAGGGTTGAGCCACTTTCCACTGCTTTCCCAGGCCCATTACCAGGGAGCTGGATCAGAAGTGAAGCAGCTGGGACTTGAACAGGCTTCCATATGGGATGCTGACAATACAGGCTGAGGTTTTTTTACCCACTATGCCACTGCTCTGCCCCAATGGTATATACCCTCGATTCAATGTGATGAAATAGTCCTCTGTGACCTTCCTCCAAAACCCCTGGTCTAATCATGAGCAAAACATCAGACAAATTCCCATAGAGGAGCATCCTGTATCCCCAACCAGTACTATTCTAAACTGTCAAGGTCATGCAAACAAGTTAAGGGCTGTCAGAGCCAAGAGGAGTCTAAAGAGACAGGATAAAGTTGATGAGATTCTGGGATAGAAAAAGGATATTAGGTAAAACTAAGGAAATCTGAATAAAGTGTTAAATTTAGCTAATAATGTATCCATATTGGTTCACTAATTATAATGAATGTACTACACTATTTTAAGATGTTTTGGGGGGATATGGAACTCTATACTATTTGATAAGTTACTCTGTAAATCTAAACCTGCTTTAAAAAATATATTCAACTGGGGCCAGCGTTGTGCAGCGGGTTAAGCCACCACCTTTGACATCAGCATCCCATATCAGAGCAAAGGTTCATGTCCCGGCTACTCCACTTCCCATCCAGCTTCTTGCTAATGTGCCAAGGAAGACAGCAGAACATGGCCCAAGTACTTGGACCCCTGACACCCATGTGGGAGATCCAGATAGAGTTACTGGTTCCTGACTTCAGCTTGGCCCAGCCTGAGTCATTGTGGCCATTTAGGGAGTGAATCAGCAGATGAAAGATCAATCTCTCTCTCTTTCCCTGTCTCACTTTGCCTTCCAAATAAATTTTTAAAACTTTCAAAAATATATACCATGTTTAATTAAACATGGAGGGGGAAAAACCCGTAATAGCCAAAAAGTTCAAATCCAAATGTCCATCAACTGATAAGTGGACAAACAAAATGTGCTACAATGGAGTATTAATCAGCAGTAAAAAGGAAAGAAATGGTGATACATGTTAAAACATGGACAAGCCTAGGCCGGCACCGCGGCTCACTAGGCTAATCCTCCGCCTTGCGGCACCTGCACACCGGGTTCTAGTCCCAGTCAGGGTGCCGGATTCTGTCCCGGTTGCCCCTCTTCCAGGCCAGCTCTCTGCTGTGGCCAGGGAGTGCAGTGGAGGATGGCCCAAGTGCTTGGGCCCTGCACCCCATGGGAGACCAGGGTAAGTACCTGGCTCCTGCCATCGGATCAGCGCGATGCGCCGGCCGCAGCACGCTAGCCACGGCAGCCACTGGAGGGTGAACCAACGGCAAAAGGAAGACCTGTCTCTCTGTCTGTCTCTCTCACTGTCCACTCTGCCTGTCCAAAAAAAAAAAAAAAAAAAACCATGGACAAGCCTTGAAAACATACACTAAGTAGAAAGTCTACATAGGTAAATGTATAGATAAAAAACTAGATTGGATCCAGAGGGCAGGGGAAACAGGAACTACTAATAGATATAATAGATACAGGCTTCTTTGGGGTGGGGGTGACAGAATGAGATAATGGTAATAGCTGTTCAACTTTGTAAATATACTAAAAACCAGGAATTATATGTTTTTAAAGGATATATTTTATGGCATGTGAATTCTATCTAAATAAAGTTGTTATAACAAGAGTATCAATGGGACCAACGCTGTGATATAGCAGGTAAAATCTCTGCCTGCAATGCTAGCATCACATATGTGTGCTGTTTTGAGTTCCTGCTACTCCAGTTCGGTTCCAGCTCCCTGCTAATGCACCTGGGAAGGCAGCAGAGGATGGCCCAGGTGCTTGGGCCCCTTCACCCACATGGGAGACCAGGAGGAAGCTCCTGGCTCCAGGCTTCAGATGGGCCCAGCTATGGCTGTTGTAGCCATCTGGAGAGTGAACCAACAGATGGAAGATCTCTGTGTGTGTGTGCGGCTCTGACTTTAAAATAAAATTTATTTTATTAATATATTTATTAGTAAATTAAATAAATTATTAATAAATCAGTATAAAAACAAAGCAAAGTTGAATGCTTTGGAAAAACTCCATAATGGCACATCACTCTAAACAAGAAAAATGAAAAAGAAAGGAACTCCTACCATCCTATCCCATCAATTCAATAGTGCTGCTTTAGGAATCAAGTCATATTTTGTAGGGGCCTGGTGCACTGTAGACACTGTTTGCTGATTATTTTTTCCTTAATACTGAATAGTTTGTTTCCAGAACACACACACTAGTTTGAAAAATAAGCCTTTCTAATATGATCTACAGAAAGGATGATAATTCCAGTTTCTTTCTAATTCACTCTAAAGATGAAAGGCAATCAGAGAATCCACAGAATTAAGAGGTAAGGTTGATTCTTTTTTATTTATTTTTTTATTTTTTGGCAGGCAGAGTGGACAGTGAGAGAGAGAGACAGAGAGAAAGGTCTTCCTTTTGCCGTTGGTTCACCCTACAATGGCCGCCGCGGCCGGCGAGGTGCATCGCGCTGATCTGAAGCCAGGAGCCAGGTGCTTCTCCTGGTCTCCCATGTGGGTGCAGGGCCCAAGCACTTGGGCCATCCTCCACTGCACTCCCTGGCCACAGCAGAGAGCTGGCCTGGAAGAGGGGCAACCGGGACAGAATCTGGTGCCCCGACCAGGACTAGAACCCGGTGTGCAGGTGCCGCAAGGCAAAGGATTAGTCTAGTGAGCCGCGGCGCCGGCCAAGGTTGAGTCTAACACTTAGACTTATTCTGAGAAACAAACTCCAGTGTATCTTTTTTATTTAAGCAGAGTAAGTTGAGCTGCCAGATATTCAAGGGCAGAATTCACTTCTTTCTACATCGCCTTCACTAGTGCATAGCACTTCTGGAACTGGGAATTTCAGAGCTATCTAAAAATACTGTTTTCCAACATATAGCAGTAACCCAAAGGAAACAATTATTCAATTCATAGAAAGCAACCAGGTTTATAATGTTACAAAGTATTGATCATTATTTTAAAAGTCTTTTAGCTTTGTTTTGTTCATAACTGCCTTCAAAATTCACCACCTAGGGATTATACACTTAAGGAAGAAAGATATTTTTCTCAATTTTCAACTTCTCCCCAAAAGCATCTAAGACTTTTTAAAAATCAAAAATACTGCCTCTGATTGGAGCGAACCACCCCCAAAAAATACAAGTCTAAGTAGCAAGAAAAGAAGAATTTAAAAGCCTGTCAAGACAAAATCTAAGCAGACATCTAACAAGAGCTATTATTTGGAGGATCTTTCAAGCTCATGAATTATTCACAGATGCTGAAAGGGGTAACCAAAAGGCATCAACTTTTTTACCAAGCTGACTCCCTTCCACCTTCTACCGGCCCTTCAATAGCAGTCTTAAACCAGCACACTTTCACAGCACACCAGTGCCCCTTTCACTCACAGCTGAGTGAAAGAACCAATTGCTTTAAGGTGTACAGAAGCTTGACCTGTATATCAAGCCTTGCTGGAAAAGGGACATTTATATTTGTTGAGACTATAAATTTAAAGGGATCTTCAAATTTAAACCCTGGAACAATCCAGAGAGATCTGCATTGTTATCTCTGTTTTACAAATAAAGAGGCAGAGGTTTGGTAAGATTCAGTAATTTATCCTGTATCTCTCAGTAAGTTATAAAATTTTAGGTGAACTGTGTCTAAATCCTGATGTTGATCATCACCTAAAATTATCCTCATCATATGACCCTGTAGGTCTTTTATAGCAAGCAGAATGATGGCCAACAGGATAACTACTGTTGCATTGTAACAATAAAGTCTTCTTTTCAGGTAATAAATGTAGCAAGTTTCAAAGCCTTCTGAAAGTATCGGTTAAACTATGACCTGATCACTAGAAAATAAAATACAGAATAAAAACATAGCATCAAATGCAAAATAAAACAGTGAGATGCCATTCCAGCCATACTAGCAAAAGTTAAAGGTGTTTGTAAGGTTTGGGAAAATGGGTACTTTGATATAGTACTGTATGAAAGCAAAAGGTGCAGTTATTTGGAAGAGCAATTAGTATCTTTTTAAAAAATGTATAAATCCTAGAAGCTAATGTTTCTATTTTTACATTATATATTTTGCAAAACATTCACACATAAGACAAAAAACCATGGACAATATTGTTTCACTGTTCGTAATTTCACAAACTGATCTGCCACAGTGATAATACTTAAATCAGTTCCCCCACTTAAAAGCCTTTTCCAACATACTAGGAATAATCCAAATGTCTTTTAAAATATTTATTTATTTATTCGAAAGGCAGAGTTATAGACACACAGAGAGAGAGAGAGAGAGAGAGAGAGAATCTTCCGTTCACTGGTTCACTCCCCAGATGGCCGCACCGGCCAGGTCTGGGCTAGGGTAAAACCAGGAGCCAGGAGCTTCATCTGGGTCTCCCACGTGGGAGCAGGGGCCCGAGCACTTGAGCCATGTTCTTATGCTTTCCCAGGCATCTTTAATGGGGAGCTGTAAGGAAAGTGGAGCAGCCAGGACATGAACTGGCACTCATATGGGATGCCAGCACTGCAGGTTTAACCTGCTACACCACAGTGCTGGCCCCAATCCAAATGTTTACTCTGTCCTACAAGGAGCAACAAACCTGGCCCTGGCTCACAACTCCAATTTCATCTCATACCTTCTGCCACATTGTTTTCTTCCTGGTCTCCAAAGACACGGTGCTGGTGTCCACCAAAAGGGCCCCTACACTACTTGCCTCCTATACACAGAGCCTTCTCCTCGACTTTGTATGAATGACTCCTTTTAATTCAGCTCTCATGGGCCATTTTTCCTCAGAGAGGCTCTCTAGGGCCACTCATTCTGACACAGAACTTTATTTTTATCAGCCTGCTTAAGGCTACCTTCTATTTTCTCATTTATATATGCCCTTCCATCAGATTGTCAGCAACACGACAACCTGGCCTTCATTTGTTCTGCGCCGTTTTAGCCCCAGAAGTGATAGCTAGGCAAAATGGAAACTCTCAATAATTTTTTAAAGGAGATTTATTTATTTTAAAGGTAGAGTTATGGATAGAGAAGAGACAGAGAGATCCTCTATCCGCAGGTTGACTCCCCAAATGTCTACAATGGTCAGAGCTGGGCCAGGGTGAAACCAGAAGCCATGAGTTTCATCCAGGTCTCCCACATGGATGGCAGAGGCCCAAGAATATAGGCCATCTTCTGCTGCCTTCCCAGGTGCGTTAGCAGGAAGCCGGATCAGAAGTAGAGCAGCTGGGACAGGAATCCATGCCCATACGTGATGTCAGTATCACAGGTGGTGGCTTAACCTGATATACCACATGACTAATAATTTTTTAAATGGATGCATTGTATAGTATACTATGATTTTCTGTGTAACACTTAAAGAGTATCGTTTATATGCAAGAACATGGAAAGATCTAAGACTAATAATCGAATATTTTCTTTTAATTAAACTGTATTATAATAAAGAATGTTTTATTTAACACAGGTTACAAAAATAAACCTCTTGGAGATATCTGTGAAAAGTTTCTTGGTTTCTTGAAGAATCAGCTTAAACTGTGTCTCTGATTCCAGGAAAACCATTCATGTTGCAAGATAGAATGAGTGACTAGACATGTCTGAAAGGACAGAACGTCGCTTATCCCTCCAAAGGGACAGGGATGAAGGGGAAGGACCAGGGAAGACTGTCTTCATCTCTAATGTTTGCATTTTAACAACCTACACATATTCCTGCAACAGGTGTGTAACAAAAAAAATCACATCTTAGAAGAAAAAACATGTTCATCATCTTTACAAATACTCAAAAGTACACATTAATATTATTTCATACACTGCTTCCACAATAGGACAACTGATTATAACTTCTCTCATGATCTATAACAGATAGCTTTAGACATTTATTATTTGCCAAAGAATATTATTATTGTGACCACATTAATTGTAAAACAACGTTAAATTGTTAGGAAGAATAAAATACTTATCAAGGCTCTGCTATGTGCCAGCAGCTGAGTTGGGTACATTACAAAAACCAATTTACTTCTTGAATCGTTGATATTATCACTATGCATTTTTTTCCTAAAGATTTATTTATTCATTTTGAAAGGCAGACTGGCAGAGAGAATCTTCACCTGGTTCACTCTCCAATGGCCCCCAATGGCCTTGACTGGTCACAGCCAAGGCCAGGAGCCTGGAAGTCCATCTGGATCTCCCATGTGGATGGCAAGGGCCAAAGCACCAGTACTTGGATATGGAATTCTGACACTGCAGGTGGCAGCTTAACCTGGTGTGCCATAATGCTGGCCCACTATCCATTTTATAAATAAGGAAACCATTCTCAGAACAAACACTTGAGATTATACAGCCAAGAGCCAGCAAAGAGGGAATTAAAGCAAAAATTTGACTTGAAGATCAATAGACTTTCTACAGGACAATACACTCTCACACAGTAAGAGTTATCTCTCAAGGCCAGCACCGTGGCTCACTTGGTTAATCCTCTGCCTGCGACGCCAGCATCCCATATGGGCACCAGGTTCTAGTCCTGGTTATTCCTCTTCCAGTTCAGCTCTCTGCTGTGGCCCGGGAGGGCAGTAGAGGATGGCCCAAGTGCTTGGGCCCTGCACCTGCATTGGAGACTGACCAGGAGAAAGCACCTGGCTTCGGATCAGCGCAGCACCGGCCATAGCGGCCATTTGGGGAGTGAACCAACGGAATGAAGATCTTTCTCTCTGTTTCTCTCTCTCATGTCTAACTCTATCTGTCAAATAAATAAAAAAATAAAGAGTTATCTCTCAAACATGAACTAAGAGAATAGTCCAGGAGACAACTGGGTAAACATGCAGAATTTAAGGACAGGATAGAGAAAGGCATTTGGCTGAGTGTTAAGACACTTGCTTCTTAAACTGGAGTGCCTGAATTTAATTGCCAGCTCCAGCTCCTGACTCCAAGTTACTGTTAGTGCAGACCCTTGGAGGCAGCTGTGATGACTCGGGTGGGTAGGCTGCTGCTGTCCATTTGGAAGACTGAACTGAGTGCTCACTTCCTAGCTCCAGCTGTTGCAGTCATTTGGAGATTTGGAGAGTGGCACAGCTGAATGGAGCTTTCTCTCTGCCTCTCAAAAATAAATAAATAAATAAATATAATAAAAAGTACAGATGGAGAGGGAAGGGAGATCAAGATCACCACATTGGCATAACCAAAACAACACAATAGCAACACCAATTTGTGATAACTTAATCAATCAGCCTTCTGCCCCTAACCACTGAACTGTTCAAAACATACAGATGTAACTCCTTTATTTAAAATTCTGAGGGAAACTTTCAAAAGAAATTGGTAATTAATTTGGTGAAACTCTTCACTAAATTCCATCTATGCTCCTCTCTTACAATTTGATTATAGTGAAGGTGACTCAGCTTTTAGTAGAACTAGGAGAAACCTGAGCCACTGTAGACTTACACACTAACCATTTAAATAAAGATTATTAACTATCGAGAGTCATCTGCAGTTATAGTTGATATTTTGTACCTCATTGCTTTTGAGCTTATACTAAAAACTAAAGTTAAAAAAAAAAACCAAGATGAATTATCAGTAGTAAAATGTATTCTACGATTGAAATCTTCCAAATATATTACAAAATAAATGGCTGACGTTTCATTACCAACTATCAGTAAGGCTTAGCTTTGATTAAAAGTAAGATTTCTGGGGCCAGTGTTGTGGCAAACTGGGTTAAGCTGCAGATTACAATGCCAGAAGCACACACTAGAGCATGGCTGGAGTCCCATCTGCTCCGTTTCTGATCCAGCTCCCTGCTAATGTGCTTGGGTAAGCAGCAGCAGGTGGCCCAAGTGCCTGGGCCCCTGTCACCCACTTGGGAGACCCAGAAGGACATTTGGGGAGTGAACCAGCAGATGGAATCAGTGTCTGTCTCTGTCTCTCTTTCTGTCTCTCCCTGGTCTCTGTTTCTCTTTCTTTCCATTGTTCTGCCTTTCAAGTAAATAAATAAATCTTTAAGAAAAAATTAAGATCTCTTCTACTTTTAAGTCTCTAGTGACAAACCTTGTATTTAATAAAAATAGTGACACTGTTTTGTAAAAACTTTGTAATAACAACGTAATAATTGTGTTTCTTCAATCAGCTAAGAAAAAATGACAATATTAAGGAAAAATGACAATATTAAAGAAAATTTTATCATTATTTTTTAAAGACTTATTTATTTGTTTGAAAGAATTACAGAGAAAAAAGGGAAAGTCAGAAAGAGAGAGCGACTTTTCATCTGCTGGTTTACTCCCCATATGGCCACAACAGCCAGGGTTGGGTCAGGCCAAAGCCAGGAGCCAGGAGCTTCATCTGGGTCTCCCACATGGGTGGCAGGGGCCTAAGCACTTGGGCCATCTTCTGCTACTTTTCCTAGGTCATTAGCAGGGAGCTGGATCAGAAGTGGAGCAGTCAGGACATGAACCAGCACTCACATGGGATGCCAGCATCAAGGGCAACAGTTTTACCTTCTACGCCACAACTCCGGCCCCTCTTATTATCATTATTATAACTAACTTCCATGGATGAGAAACTCTGCATATATAAGCTCCCAAACCAATTCCGAAAAATATTTTGTGAAACCCATCTCAAAAATAAAAATCTGGCTATTATATGAACAGCAAATGTTTTAAAGTGTTAATTTACTAAATTATAGGTCTTCTACAGAATAAACACCATTTTAAGGTACACTGGGATTTATCACAGAAATAATGAAAAGAATAGCTGTTTGAAATATGTGCAGTAGGAAACTTTTCATTTTATCAAACTTTTTGATAAGAAATGCTTTCAGTGTTACAAACTTGATCTTCTTTGAAATGTGTTATCTGCTGCTTTTCTGTTTCTGTTACAGTAGTTATAAATAGTTGTTTAAGGATAGTCTTATCTAAATTCCTCCCTGTAAACAAAACAAAACACAGCTTGATTATATTATGCATAAAATGACACAGTTCACCTCTCAATTCCCCATAACTAAATGCTTGATTATCATGAGACATTTACAAAAAACATTACCCAGTTTAAAAATAATACTTGGAATAATCACTTCTCTAAAATTGTTTGAAGAGGAGACAAAGACCTAACAAGTTTTTATGCCATCACATGATTAAGACAAACACTCACCACAAGCTTATTTAGTTACAATAGAGGGCCTGATTTGGCTAACCTTATTGCCCTTCCAAATATATTTTTTACTTTGCTTTAGACATGTAACCCTGTTACTTACCAATCAGGACCAATCGATTTGTTCTCTCAGTGTCATCTGCCCAGCTCACTGGAGTCTCCTCCAGATCATAGAGCTCATGGACACCTTGAACAATCACTTGCTGTGGTTTTTCTTTGATTGACACCAGCCCCTGCCAAAAGAGAAGGATCCGTGCTCTGTCAGCATCACAGAATGCAGATGGCCTTGCAGTCATAAAACAGCAGCAGGATCTGGCCTCATTCCTCTCAGTCAGGGTGATTTACAAGCAGATGGGATTCACCTGTGTCTTCTAGCGAGCCAATCCCAGGTGGAGCCAGCAAGGGGAGTGAAACAATCTAAATATAAACAGGTTCTTGATAGTCTCAACCCCTGACATTCTAGGGAACCCCAGGGGGTCAGTAGCTACACTGGGTACAATAAGTGGTAATCATACAAACCTTATGTGCACGTAGGGACACATCCATACTCAAATGGCCACTGATTGGTTAATTTTAAACAGAGAACTGCTACCCCCTAGAAAAAAAACACCCTTTGTGCCATAAATACCTAAATATCAAGTAAGAGAGATCGGGTTTCCAAACCCAGAACAAGAATTATTCTAGTGCTTATTAGTGTCTGTATACAAGGTCCAACCATAGCAGAACTTCATTACTTCTCTCTGAAAATAAGCTCTCTCAGAAAACTGAACTGTTTTCTCTAGGTGATCAATCTGTGAGCCAAGTACAGAGTTTGGTAAGAATCCAGCCATATATCTGCTTAAAACACCTGGAAGTGGAAACCAAGGGATAACATTTCAAGCAAACAGACTGTTTTAGCTGCAACATTAATCGAAGCTGTGCAAATAAATCATGTTTTATGCAGTAATTTCCAAAGCTCATTTTTAGCAATAGAAATGATAAAGAAAAATCAAAGTAGACAAAAGCAACTTCTGTTTAAAACCAAACATGATTTGTATTTAGCAGCCAAGAAAGGGACTTTGCCCAAAAGTCTGAGCAAGTAAACCGAATACTGCACCTTCAGCCGTATGACCTCCATGCAGTGCCGGTCCTTGTCTGTCACATTCTTTTCCCACAGGAGACTCTGCATCAGGAGACATGTTTCAGTAAGACCAAGCATTGCTAAGAGCACCAACCAGGTAACAAAACAGTTGATAAAGCAATGATCAGTTAAAAATTGCATTCACCTGAATAAATTCATTTAGCCTTTCTTCCTTTACATTTCCTGGTACCTCGAATGTAACTGTAGTAATACTCTGTAAATCAAGAAAAATAATTATGAATAATTTTTACAGTAATATCAATATATTTTTTAAAATCACAAGTTTTAAGATGAAAAGGATCATTTTCATGACATTTTGTTGACTAACGAAATATAATACGCATTACAGTTTTCCCCTTATATGTGATGATTTTGGGAATCAACTACTCCATTTTCTAAATTCTACAGAATTCATGAATGAGTTAGTATTTACACAAAACACTACTTCATCTAAAAAAATTACACACAAAAAATCTTCCCAAAGGGTGCCGACGATTTAATTCACTCTTTCAGGGTTGCAGGGAGGCAGGCAGCTGCTGTTCAATGGTTACACAAAATGAAAAGGTTCTAGAGACCTGCTCAAAAATAGGTTAAGAAGATACATCTCATGTTAACTCTTATTTTATATTAAAATTATTTTATAATAAAATATACTTATTTTGAAATTTTACTACTGTTTTGTTTTTCTTTCCTCATTCAAGGAATCACTATCTCAAAAATTCATATCAAAACATACAGCAAATTTAAAAACAGCAAAAGGTTGCCAAATGAAACAAAACCTGTCATTTTCAAAATCAGTAATTCAGCTTTCAAACATGGATCTTATTTAAGTTGGAAAACCTGGCTTTTAATAGTGAGAATGTCTCAATATAGGACTCCATATATTCGTATTGCTTTATTCTTAGCTTAATGATTTTTGTATCAGGAATGACTATTGCTTTTGGCAAATTAGAACTATGACTTAACAACATCTTTAAAGACTACAATTAACTCCAGTGAGAAGCAAAAATATACCATGGGGTCAAGGAGAGAGCTCGATATTCTGGAATGTATGAATTGCTGCTCTTCTCCTGCCTTCCACAAGTGCAGTGATATGTGTGTTTCTCTACCATCTGCTTCTCCCTCAACTCTACGCACCATGAAACCTCAGGAATGGTTTGTGGCCTGATGGGGGGAGAAGTAGGTAGACAGGGGCTGACACCTGATGAAAGAAAACATGTTCCAGGCAAAGCGGCGTATCTGGAGGCTGAGGAAAGAGGCAGTTTGAGGCAGGTACATAAAGGGGAGAAAGGTAAGAGACAAAGCAGGAGAGACTGGGAAGCAGTGCTTTTCTATGCCAGTAAATTCTTCTCATATTAGAAAAACCCTAAAGAGGGGAAACCTGTAAATTCCCAGCACAGAAGAAAAGGGGCAGAAGGCTTGATTCATAATTGCCTCTAAGAATAACAATAACTAAGCACAGATTGCCACTTGAGTTTTCTCAGAGACCTTCTCACCTTCCAAACTCAGGTCCTCAACCCAAATAAGACTGTTCATACCGCTGAATCTAACAATACTTTTTTTTTAAAGATTTTCTTTATTTATTTCTGAGGTAGAATTACAGACGAGAGGGAGAGAGAGAGAGAGAGAGGTCTTCCATCTGCTGGTTCCTCCCCAAATGCCACAACAGCCAGAACTGAGCCGATCTGAAGCCAGGAGACAGAAGCTTCTTCCTGGTCTCCCATGCAGATACAGAGGCCCTTGGGCCATCTTTCACTGCTTTCCCAGGCCATAGCAGAGAGCTGGATCAGAAGAGTAGCAGTCACGACATGAACTGGAGCCCATATGGAATACCTACACCACAGGCAGAGGCTTAGCCTACTACACAACAGCGCGAAACCCCAACAGCGCTATGTCTGCAACACTAAATTTTGCCTTCTGTTTACGTATCTAAAGCAGGAAAGTGCATAAGAATCAGATTTGCTTACACTACAGCAAGGGCAACAGGTATAGATGTGTTTGCCATACTATTCTACTTTTACACAGGCCTGAAATTTTCCATCTTAAAATGTTCTTTTTAAATTACATCTGAGGGGCTGGTGCTGTGGTGTAGGAGGTAAAGCCGCCGCCTGCAGTGCTGGCATCCCATATTAGCGATGGTTCGAGTCCCGGTTGCTCCACTTCCAATCCAGCTCTGCTATGGCCTGGGAAAGCAGTGAAAGATGGCCTAAGTCCTTGGGCCCCTGCACCCATGTGGAAGACTTGGAAAAGCTCCTGGCTTCGGATTGGTGCATCTCTGGCCATTGCAGCCAATAGGGGAGTGAACCAGCAGATGGAAGACCTCTCTCTCTCTCTCTGCCTCTCATTCTCTCTCTAACTCTGACTTTCAAATAAATAAATAAATACATCTTTTAAAAAATTACACCAGAGGCTGGCGCCGTGGCTCACTAGGCTAATCCTCCACCTGCAGCGATGGCACCCCGGGTTCTTGTCCCGGTTGGGGCGCTGGATTCTGCCATTTGGGGGGTGAACCAACGGAAGAAAGACCTTTCTGTCTCTCTCTTTCTCACTGTCTAACTCTGCCTGTCAAAAAAAAAAAAAAAAAACATCAGAATAGGTGCTGGGGAACAGATGAAATACAATCGGCAACATGTAGATTCTATGTAGACAAGCAGTGCATACAAGGAGTTCATTTTGCTATTCTCTCCACTTCTGTATCTCTTTAAAGTTTCTCACAATAAAATGTTAAACATACACAATTAATGTACAAGTATCTAAGCACCACTCCTGAAAATTTGAAAGGTAAGAAATATTGAGGATCCATTTCTTTAAAAAAAAAAAAAACACAAGTTATTCTGATTATACTGCCAACTTTATATTCCTTTAGCAAATATTCACTGTACACCTACCACAACCCAAGTTGTTAAGCAATGAAGAATTTATATTTAAGGAATTTACAGACTAATACAAGGTAAACACATTTTAACTCAAATTATAAGGCATCCTGAAGGATAAGAAAGGGGGGTACAATCAGGATTCTATAGGTGCAGATATTGGTCATTATAAAGGTTCTTTTTTTAAAAGATTTATTTATTTATTTGACAGTCAGTGTTAGAAAGAGAGAGGGAGGCTGGCGCCGCGGCTCACTTGGCTAATCCTCCACCTGCAGTGCCGGCCTCCGGGTTAGTCCCGGTTGCTCCTCTTCCAGTCCAACTCTCTGCTGTGGCCCAGGAGGGCAGCGGAGGATGGCCCAAGTGCTTGGGCCCTGCACCCGCATGGGAGACGGGGAGGAAGCACCCGGCTCCTGGCTTTGGATCAGCGCAGCACTGGCCGTAGAGGCCATTTTGGGGGTGAACCAACGGAAGAAAGACCTTTCTGTCTGTCTCTCTATCACTGTCTATAACTCTACCTGTAAAAAAAAAAAAAAAAAAAAAAAGAAAAGACAGAGAGAGATAGTTTCTGCTGGTTCACTCCCCAAATGGCCACAAAGATCAGGGCTGGGCCAGGCCACAGCCAGAAGGCAGGAGCTTTATCTCGGTCTCCCACGTGGGTGCAGGGGCCTAAACACTTGGGCCCTCCTATGCTGCTTTCCCAGACACATTAGCAGGGAGGTGGATTGGAAGCGGAGCAGCAAGGGTTCGAATTGGTGCCCATATGGGATATTGGTGCTGCAGATGGCAGCTAAACCTGCTGCACCACAGCACTGGCCACTATAAATGTTCTTTGAGGACTACTTTTTCTTCATCTTTTCATCCTTGTTATTCCTAATATGATATCCCTTTCCCAAAGCTCAGTAAGAATATGCTTCAAGTTTATGACCAATACTGGAAATAAAGTTAAATTTTCAAAAAAATTGTATGACCAAGTACTTGCATTGCTTTCAATCACTCATTTTGTTTTAATGTTTATTTCTTTTCATCTACCTGAAAGGCAGAGTGATAGAGTGAGAAAGAGAGAGAGACACACTCAGAGAGAGATCTTACATCTACTGGTTCACTCCTCAAATGGCCCTAACAGCCAAAGACAGGAACCAGGAGGTCCATCTAGGTCTCCCATGTGGGAGGCAGGGCCCCATCATCTGTTGCTTCCCAGGATGCAGTAGCAGTGAGCTGGATCAGAAGCAGAGATTGTGGGCATCCCAAGTAATGGCTTAAACAACTGCACCACAACACCTGCTTCTCACTCACTTTAAAGGTAAGTGAAGATGAACATTCCATTAAGAAGTTGCTTAGAAAAGATGCTACAAACATGGCAGTATGACACCTGTAAATATCAGCCAAAATGAAGACAAATAAACAAATGCCTGCTGTTCTTGTGGCCTAATGCAACTAGTAAGGATGCAGGAACTCAGCATTTAGAGACAGAATAGGAAAGCCTGGCATGGTGCTCCCCCCATACTCCTGTCTCACTGTGATGCAGGTGGAACAAAGAAGGCACCCTCATCTTGAGATCTGATTACTGTTTATAGCCCTTGTCTATACTCCTGCAGAAAATGGTCTTTTTACTTTACATTTGTTGAAGTCTTTATTTGGTGGAAGATAAGCCTGTGACTATAAAGAAAATTGAAAGCATGTTATAGTAAAAATTAACAGAAAAAAAAAAAAGGCAGGAGGGGGGAGGGATGGAGAGGAGGATGGTGGAAAGTATCATTATGGGCTTAAAACTGCATATATGAAATATATGAAATCTGGCCTGTCAAATAAATTGTTAAAAATTTAAAAAAAGAAGTCACCCTACAGCGTTAACATCCATTACACACTTAACAGAAACATGGGTACGGCAGAAATATACTTAGCTGGCGCCTAACATCTTAAATACTGACTTCAGGAACTAGAAATTTAAAACATGCAAAATACCACAACAACTTTAAATTTAAAGTGCTACTTGAAGGTGAAATTCAAAGTCAGTTTATATTTTAATAAGCCACACAGTTAGTTCAATATAGTTAAAAACAGACTACACTTAGAATCCCCAGGCTGCTTTTCAGTAGTAATTTCCACCCAATGAACTAATTAACTGTAGAATGGAGAAGCTAGAAAACATGATCTCCTAAGATTCTCAACAACTATGGTTTGAAAATTTTCCATTGTGTATTACAAAGTTGCACTAGATTATCTCAAAAGTATTCAAAATTCTAAAAACTGTCAATAGTCTAGAAATACCATTTTAAAAAGATTTCAAATAAAAGTCCTAAACACAGCCAACTTAAATAGATACACAGGTAACTTCAAGAGATACTTTAAAGACTTTTTTTAATATAATTTTTTTTACCTGATCAAGATGAGGTTGTGTTGTTGGCACATGTTGAAGTTTTTTCTGCAAACTAAGAACAACTATTATCAACTCAAGAGATGAATATACTTCCGATTTAAATTTGTATATTACTTGGAGACATAAAGCTATATAAGGAAGAGATTTTCCATAACTAAATCTATTGCACACTCAAATTTTACATGCTATTTTAATGGAAAAGGCTGGCAGATTAAATTTTTAAAAATTCCTTAAAAATGTACACAATTTACATACATACATGTATACTTATAACAAAGAGAAAAACTAATCCTTTGGCAGTACTTGTATATAGTTCAGTATGCAGCTATTTCAAAAAGTTTGTGGAAAATAGAATTAAAAGATAAGTTTATTTTGGTGCAAAAAAACTTGAAACCCATGCACAATTATTCCATAATATGCTTTCTCATAAACTTTTGAAGACCTCCATATGTCAGTAGGTTTCTTCTAATTTCAATATGTATTTTTTTTTATTTTTTTTATTTTTTTATTTTTTGACAGGCAGAGTGGACAGTGAGAGAGAGAGACAGAGAGAAAGGTCTTCCTTTGCCGTTGGTTCACCCTCCAATGGCCGCCGCGGCCGGCGCGCTGCGGCCGGCGCACCGCGCTGATCCGATGGCAGGAGCCAGAAGCCAGGTGCTTCTCCTGGTCTCCCATGGGGTGCAGGGCCCAAGCACCTGGGCCATCCTCCACTGCACTCCCTGGCCACAGCAGAGGGCTGGCCTGGAAGAGGGGCAACCGGGACAGAATCCGGCGCCCCGACCGGGACTAGAACCCGGTGTGCTGGCGCCGCTAGGCGGAGGATTAGCCTAGTGAGCCGCGGCGCCGGCCTAATTTCAATATGTATAACACATGCTCAGAAAAAATATACATAATTAATCATTTTGGTACTGCTCAATTCTCCTCAGGCTCCCTAATATGAAAATAATGCTGGCACTTAAAGTTCAAAGGGTAAATTTTCCTTTATCAGTGTTTTCCCTAGAACATATCTAACTTATTAAGACACAAATAATGTTCATAAATATAAATCCTCAGTTACAGTTTGGAGAAATTCAAAAGTCAGACTCTTCAGAGCGAGAAGATCAATATGGCATAACAAATTACAACCCTAACAACTGTAGCATTGATGGAGACACTGATGGACACAGGGTGGGAAGGGGAAAAAGACCTTGCAGATGTTTTGCCCTGAGGAACAGTGAGGGGTAAATTAGTAACAGCAAGTTTAGGAGAGAAGGGGCATGGAAAACTATTGGAGGGAATGAGTCTCACTGGGGGGTCTTAGCAGGGGAAAGTGTCAAATTAAATCCTGCCCAGCTGGTTGCTCAGGAAAGGACCCTCCTGTTTAGTTTAGCACAAAGAAAAATTGTGCAAAGGCCTTATCTATACTGCCAGGATCACATTAAAATCTACTTTTTTAAGTGTCACTAAAGCATTATAAATGCTCTTAATCAAGTGTAGAATGAGATTACTTTTAAAAATCTTTGAAAAATGTTATCCTTTTTCCATATGTTCAATATCTAATGTTGAACAATGACTGCCTAAAACTTCATAAGAAGGAGTCAAAATTTAGCAATGAGCACTTTGGTTCCTGGTAAATCCCAGAATTTTATGCTTTTAATTCTTTCTGTATCATAGAAATAAAGGAAAATGTACTGTAGTCTAGAGGACAAACATATACTACCAAAACCTGAAATTCATGAATTAATTTTGCATATTTACTTGTAATCTTGGAACAATTTTTGTCTCTACACTAATAAACTATATAAATCTAAAATAGCTTAGCATTTGTACATATAACATTATATTCTATAATAATTTATTTCTTTTAATGGAAAATGGCACTAACAACTTTTCTATCTGTCCTATGTAAAAATACAGAATAATATGAAGAACTAGATGCTTTGAAGAAAGTACCTTTACTACAGCAAATTATAGCAAACAACATAAGTAGAAAGAGAAACAAACTGATACACTGAATTTCAAAGTGGAAAATCACTTTTCTAAGGAATCAAATACAAAGGAATAAAACATAAAAAGAGAAAAAAAAGATCTCAACAAAGAAATATTTTAGTGTTTTACATATTAAATGACAACCCACTTGCAAACTCAAACTCACAAGGGATAAATTAGTTTAAGCAAGACAAATTTCCACAGTATTGTTTCATTTTTCCATCTTATAAATACATTTAAATGTATCACAGAATTTATAACTATCTTTCTACCCATTGCCTCAGATGAAATAAGAAGATATGGAAGGTTAGAAAAAAGGAGAATGAAAAAGTAGGAAATATTCAAATGAAATGTACTGGAGTCTTAAAGTGAAAAGAAATGGATCAATAAGACAAACTCAGGATGGGCTAGACTTTGGGTCATTTCAGAAACAGGTGGCAAAAAGACAAAGGCTCTTATTCCCAGAATTAGGTGACAGTCTCAGTCAACATTTCTTCCTACTAAAGCCAGAACTAAGAAGGGAGAAGAGATGATTTTTAAGATTTTTTTAAGGATTTCTTTATTCAAAAGGTAGAGTTAACAGAGGGGGTGGTGGGGAGAAACAGAAAGAGATCCATCTGTCAGTTCATTCCCCAAATGACAGGATACAGGAGCCTTCATAAATAAATGACGGAAAAAATGGGTAAACCTGTGTATTTTTTTTGTGCTTAGTTTGATATAGAAATAGCTACAGAAAAGTCTAATTGGATTTTAAAAAGTATGAAATAATGGTAATAAACTGGGAAGAACTTAGCAAGTCCTGTTTTTGACTCGTCTCTGTGACCCTGTGTGTTCAGATACACAAATGTTCTCCAGGTAAATACAGGGCACCTCTTTCTTTGTTTCTTTTTAAGATTTATTTTATTTATTTGAAAAGCAGAGTTATAAAGAGAGAGAGAAGGAGAGATAGAGAGAAAGATCCTCCATTCAGTGTTTCACTCTCTAGATGGCTGCAACAGCTAGGGCTGGGCCAGGCCAAAGCCAGGAGCCAGGAGCTTCTTCTGAGTCTCCCACGTGGATGCAGGGACCCAATACTTGATGCATCCTCCGATGCTTTCCCATGCACATTAGCAGGGAACTGGATCAGAAGTCAGGCAGCCAAGTGTCAATCCAGCAACCATATGGGATGCTGATGCCACAGGTGGTACCTTTACCCACTATGCTACAGCACTGGCTCCAAAAAGATTTTTAAAGAATCAAACCAAGTTTATGCTTAAGACTTTATTTATATTTATTCATTTAACAAAGGAAAGGTTTTCATTTTAACATCAGAATATAAAAGGCTTGCATGAAAAAACAGCATATTTTGGAGTGATATTCCTATTTCATAATCAATCTTATTCAGCACATGAATAAGTGACAATAAAATCTGACATTAGGGAAAATGGTTCAGGGTGAAGAGAGATTTTACAATTTTAGACAAAAGTGGCCTTAAAGGACCTATCTCTACCATAAAACAACAAGTATGCACTTTTACCTTGCATAATTTACAAGGATTAAAAAAAGTTAGGAATCATTCACACACAAAGGGAATTCAAAAAGTTCACGGAGGGGCATGTGTTTGGCCCAGCCACTTAGGACACTTGTATCCCATGCTAGAGTGCTTAGATTTGAGCCCTGGCTCTGTTCTCGATTCCAACTCTTTTTTGATATATACCCTAGGAGATAACAGGTGATGATGGGTCAGTCATTGTACCCTTGCAACCCTAGTAGGAAACCCAGATTGAGTTCCTGGCTCCAGACTTTGCCCTAGCCCAGAGGCTATTGTGCTCATTTGTGGAATGAACCAAGGGATAGAAGATTCATATTTCTCTCTCCCTCCCTACTTCCCTTCCTCTCAAGTAAATTAGTAAATAAACTTTCAAAACTGCTCTTCTCATTAAAAAACAAAATTCACAGAAAATGTGCATTATTTAATTCCATTTGCCGTGAATTTTTTGAAGCTCCCTGGTATAATTTAGGAACATCAAACTCTCCAGCTTCCCTTTAAATGCAATTTGAAAGGCAAACACTGAGTTTGTGTAGGCATCTGGGAAATGTCTTGATAATTTAACACAATTCATTTGTAATTTTAACTTATTATCTGCTAACTTTAATGAGGTGCTGGTCCAACACCAGAGGCTATAGGCTGACAAAAACAGCTCTCAACTGAAGACTTGACTCCTAGAGTCACTCTTGTCACTTAAGGTCATCCCCTGAGTTTCGGTGTCCAAACTGAGAAGGAAGAGATATCTGCCTTACTTATCCCACACTTGCAGGTGCTGAAATATCCAAAAATATTTTTTAAAGATTTATTTATTTATCTGAAAGAGTTACAGAGAGGGAGAGACAGAGGCAGAGAGAAAGAGAGGTCCTCCATTGGCTGGTTCACTGCCCAAACAGCCACAATGGCCAGGGCTGGCCAGGCCAAAACCAGGAGCCAGAAGCTTCATCAGGGACTCAAACATGAGAGCAAGGGCCCAAGGACTTGGGCCATCTTCTGCTGCTTTCCCAGGTGCATTAGCAGGGAGCTGGATCAGATGTGGAACAGCCCAGACTGAAACCGGCGCCCATATGGGATGCTGGCACTGCAGGTGGCAGTTTCACTATCTATGCATAGCCCCTCAATTTTTTTTTATAAACTAAATGTGAATTTAAAATCTCCAATGTATACAGTAAAACAGGCCCAATAAAGTATCATCATGCCTTAACCTCAAAGGCTATCAGATGCTATTTTAAAATTTTGCTATTTTTAAATTTTAGATGCTATTTTTAAATTGTGGACAATTCCAAAGACTGGGGTTTCTTAGATACATTGATCATCCGTGATCCAAAAATCTGAAATACTCCAAAATCTGAACCTTTTTGAGCAAACTTCACATCTGACCTCATGTGACAGGTTATAGTCAAAATGCATGTGCACTGAAAGTACTGTATAAAATTACCTTCTACAAATTTTTAAAATAAGTAAGTAAAACAAAATTACCTTTGGGTTACACATATAAGGTTTAGACTTGGGTTTTGCCCCCAAGATAACTGATTTATGTACCTGCAAATATTTCAAAATATGAAAAAATGTGTAATCTGAAGCACATCTGGTCCCAGGCATTTCAGATAAGGGATCCCCTGGCTATGTGTGTTTCTTGTCCTGCGTGTGCAATGGGAATTAGGAGTTTCAAGTGCAGCACCACTTACCAAGCCCACGCCTAAGAAAAATGGCCTCACCTATTCAGACTATTCAGAGGGGTGTCCGCTTTCATGACCTTGCATGGGCACATGTGAGATTTAGGAAGATACTCACTGCAGCATTATTCGCAATAGCCAAGACACGGACACAATCTAAATGCCCTTTGACAGATGAGTGAATAAAGTAAATGTGGAAATACATAAGATGGAGTATTATTTACCCTTTAAAAAGAAGAAAATCCTGCCATATATGACAACATGGATGAGCCTTGAGGACATCGGGCTAAGTGAAATGAATCAGTCACTGAAGGACAAACACTGTATGATTCCACTCATTTCAAACTCACAGAGACAGAGTACAATGGCAGTTACCGGGGACTAGGAGAGGAGGAAACAGGGAGCTACTATTCAACATATATAAGGTTTCAGTTACACAAGATGAATCAGTTTTAGAGATATGCTGCACATCCTCATCCAAACCTGCAGTTAACAATATTGTACTGAACACTTAAAAATTTAAGAGGATAGATTCCATGTTTAAAATGTTCTCACGATGGCCCAAGTGCTTGGGCCCTGCACCCCATGGGAGACCAGGAGAAGCACCTGGCTCCTGCCATCGGATCAGCGCAGTGCGCTGGCCGCAGCGCACCAGCCGCGGTGGCCATTGGAGGGTGAACCAACGGCAAAAGGAAGACCTTTCTCTCTGTCTCTCTCTCTCACTGTCCACTCTGCCTGTCAAATAAATAAATAAATAAATAAAAATAAAATGTTCTCACTACAATTAAAACAAAGATACTGATGTTCAGGAATAATTAATGTTTTTTACCTGCCTTATCAAAGATTTCTCCCAGAAGGAGGGAGAAAACTGATGTATCAAAAAGAGGAAGGGTAGTGTATGTCTCTGCAACCCGAGTTAAAAAGTTCTAAGCATTTCATGCACTTTCCCACAGAAAGAGTATTATACATAGTGGCTGGTGTAGAATACTAACATTAGCACTTAATTTTAAGTATCATTTAAATTATACTTTTTAAAATTTATTTATTTATTTGAAAGGCAGAGAGACAGACAGAAACAGAGACAGATACACAGCAAGATTGCCTATCTGCTGGTTTAATCCCCAAATGTCCACAAAAACCCAGGGCTGGCCAAACCAAAGCCAAAAGCCAGGAACTCAGTCCAGGTCTCCCACCTAGGTGACAGGGATCCAACTACTTGATCCATCACCTGCTGCCTCTCAGGGTACATATTAGCAGGAAGCTGTAATAGGAGTAGGGCAAGGACTGGAATCCAGGCACTTCAATACAGGATGTGAGTGTCTTAACCACTGTGCCAAAGAACTGCTCCTACATTATAATCTCTGTAAGAAAGTGCATTCCGGCTGGCGCCACGGCTCACTGAGCTAGTCCTCCGCCTTGTGGTGCCCGCACACCGGGTTCTAGTCCCGGTCGGGGCGCCAGATTCTGTCCCGGTTGCCCCTCTTCCAGGCCAGCTCTCTGCTGTGCCAGGGAGTGCAGTGGAGGATGGCCCAAGTGCTTGCGCCCTGCACCCCATGGGAGACCAGGAAAAGCACCTGGCTCCTGCCATCGGATCAGCGCAGTGCGCCAGCCACAGCCCACCAGCTGCGGCGGCCATTGGAGGGTGAACCAACGGCAAAGGAAGACTTTTCTCTCTCTCTCTCTCTCTCTCACTGTCCACTCTGCCTGTCAAAAAATTAAAAAATAAAATACAATAAAAAAAAGTGCATTCCGATTAACAAAACATTAATTAACAAAACTTTCAAGAACCTAACTCATGGCCAGCGCTACGGCTCACTAGGCTAATCCTCCGCCTGCAGTGCCAGCATTCCAGGTTCTAGTCTCTCCTGGGGTGCTGGATTCTGTCCCAGTTGCTCCTCTTCCAATCCAGCTCTCTGCTGTGGCCCGAGAAGGCAGTGGAGGATGGCCCAAGTGCTTGGGTCCTACACCTGCATGGGAGACCAGGAGGAAGCACCTGCATGGGAGACCAGGAGGAAGCACCTGGCTCCTGGCTTCAGATCGGTGCAGCGCTCCAGCCTCAGCGGCCATTTTGGGGGGTGAACCAACGGAAGGAAGATCTTTCTCTCTGTCTTGCTCTCTCTCACTGTCTAACTCTTCCTGTCAAAAAAAAAAAAAAAAAAGAACGTAACTCATTAAAAATGGTCTTATATGCCAAAGGAACAACAGGAAGCTTAAATTGAGGGCACAATTATGTGAATTACTCTTTTAATTGTGGAATAAAAGGTACACTACAAAAAATGACTAAAATATAGAAAACATACCTTACTCCAGAGAGACTATCAAAGGCATGAAGATCTAATACATTAGAGAGATCAACTCTAAAAGGGGAAAAAAAACATACAGTAAACAAAAATTCTGTGGAACACATCTAATTAACAAAAAAACTGTAAGACTCTTTTGCCAAAAAATGTAGACATAAATATTAAGCAGCATATCATATTGTTTGTGGAAACAGATAAAAAAATCATACATAAGGAACAAAAGGCCACTATAAAAAACATATTCGTAGAAGTAGATGAACAGTGTAAGATCAAGGTCAAAAATCACCTGTACCTTCATAAGCTACACAGTTTTTATTTTCACTTTCAATTGATTTTTCAACCTTGAAATTTAATTTATGAGCTCATCAAATACATTTTAATAGCCCCTCCTCCCACAAAAATCAGCTGAAGAATGTAAACTTTTCCAATCAGCTTTTTTACTCCAAAGATGAAACAAGGTAAATGGTAAATGGAAATTTTGTACTTCTTTTACTTCCTTCCCATGATACAACATGTCATATAAAGGTGTGGAGTCAATCAGGTAAAATACTAATTCTCTTAAGTGCATGTGGCTGAATGTCATTCATTCAGAATGGGGTTCCATAAACAAAGAAATATCCCAATTAGTACTGTATCTGAATAGATATGATTTCTCTAGAATTATTTAGTGATAATTAATCCTTATTAGAAATGCAAATGATTCAAATCAGTTGGGAATAATATGGCACGATTACCATTAGGTTTGCTTTAATTTCAAGAAGTAAATTTACAGACTGATGATTGAGTTCTAGTTTTCACATAAAGTGATTTCTCCATAGTCAAAGCTAAAATGAAAGCATAATTAAAGAATATGTCAAAATATAATTAAATTTCAAAATCGGACTCCAAGGGCTTCCCAAAATTTATTAAATTTTCTCACAGGGGAAACAAAACTTGCCTTGTCAGACTTAGGACTATTTTTAAGTGCACAGACATGTAAGTTAAAACACCTCCTTCAGTGCACAGCTAGCTGTGCCTACTTTGCTCACTCTCAGCAGTCCACCACACACTCATACTTGTAGCAACAACACTGCTGGATTCTGAACACTTTTCCTGGCACAAGACAAATTCTCATCTCATTTTAGATTAGGAGAATCAGAAAAAATGATCAAGCAAATAAGTAAATGTCCTATGAAGAAATTTTTGAATATCAGTTTGCTCTAAGAGACCAAAGTTTTAACACTAAACAGTTTCTTTTTCACTCTCACTGTTGAACAAATATTGACAGACCAAATATAAATGAAGTAACAGCTTAACATTTAATAAACTGTCTACATACAAATTTTATATCAGTTATAAAATTCAAGCTTCTTAATAAACTACTGTTCACTGTGACAGAGTCCTTGAGAATATATGCCATTTAGAGATAATTCTGCTTTATACCCCAATTTTTTGATATTTCCAAAACAGACAGGATCAATAATAGATCTGTATAACAAATTACACTCTAGAGAGAAAAATAACAGATCAAAGCCTGTCATCAAATTCTCAGTGGAAAAGAGTAAAAGCGTAAGTTTCCAGATGCAAGTTTCTATATCTTTTCCCAAATCTAGTACTATCATGAAAACGAATTTCTTCACTCATCAAGGCATATTACTAGAAAGCAAATTTCCAAGCCACAAAATATATTTACTCCTTCAGAAATCAAAAAAGCAAATATTTTCTAAAACATTAAAATACAAATTAAAAAATACCATTATTATCATTTTAAAACTGAATGGGTGAATGAAATAAAAATACAGAAGGAATGATTTCAAAAATTCATTTCTCTCTTAATTTCTTGATCTACGCTAAGAAAACTTAATTGGGGCCAACCCTATGGTGTAGTAGTTTAAGCCTCCACCTGCGGCGCTGCTCCACTTCTGATCCAGCTCTCTACTATGGCCTGGGAAAGCAGTAAAGGAGACCCAAGTGCTTGGGTCCCTGCACCCATGTTGGAGACCAGGAAGAAGTTCCTGGCTCCTGGGTTTCGGAATGGCCTAGCTCCAGCTGTTGGGCCCATATGGGGAGTGAACCAATGGGTAGACGACCTCTTTGTCTGTAACTCTGCCTCTCAAAAAATTAAATAAATTTAAAAAAAAAGAAAGGAAGGAAAAGAAAACCTAATATTTCTCCTTTGAACAGCTACTTTCAATTTTCCTTATGTCTAAAGACTGCTTTAGGCAGCCTACAATCAGGGACAGAAGAAAAGAAAGAGGTATAGGGTTTCCAGGGTGGTAAATGGATTGCAGCTACTACCCTAGGGATACTGTCTAACAAGCATCTTTTCAAGCTCCAATGTCTCACAGAGTGCATCAGCCAAAAGATACTGTCCAAACACTCAGTCACAAACTTGCCAAATGTGTTCCTCAGTGGCACCTCAAGCTCAAGAATGCCTACAAAACTAATCACCCCTTATAGTCCTACTTCTCACTACCCAATGTTCCTGTTTGAAACTCAAAAAAGAGCCTTGTATTGAACCCACCATACAAAGATCATACTGCCTTTTCTTGTTTGTTTGTTTTATGCTTATTTATTTATTATTTATTTTTTGACAGGCAGAGTGGACAGTGAGAGAGAGAGACAGAGAGAAAGGTCTTCCTTTGCCGTTGGTTCACCCTCCAATGGCCGCCACAGCCGGCGCGCTGCGGCCAGTGTACCGTGCTGATCCGATGGCAGGAGCCAGGTGTTTATCCTGGTCTCCCATGGGGTGCAGGGCCCAAGCACTTGGGCCATCCTCCACTGCACTCCCTGGCCACAGCAGAGAGCTGGCCTGGAAGAGGGGCAACCGGGACAGAATCCGGCGCCCCGACCGGGACTAGAACCCGGTGTGCCGGCGCCGCGAGGCGGAGGATTAGCCTAGTGAGCCGCAGCGCTGGCCTAAAGCACTCCTTTTTTTTAAGTCTTATTTATTTTGAAACTCAGAATTATGGAGAGGGAAAGAGACAGACAGAGAGAGAAAGAACAAGTGAGCCCAACCTTCTATCCACTAGTTTATTCCTCAGATGACTACAACAGCCAGAGCTGGACCAGGCCAAAGCCAGGAGCTTCATCTGGGTCTCCCACATTGGTGACAGTGTCCCAAACACCTGGGCCATCTTCTGCTGCTTTTCCCAGGTGCATCAGCCGGAAGCTGGATCAGAAGTACAACAACTAGGATGCAAACCAGTGTCCATATGGGAAGCTGGCATGGCAGGTAGAGGCATTATCACTATACCACAATTCCAGCCCTAGATCCAAGTACTTGAGCCATCACCTACTCACTCTCCAGGGTGTGCATTAGCGGAAGCTAGAATTCAAAGTAGAGGCAGGACTTGAACCCAGGTAGTAAGATGTGGGACATGGGTGTCCCAAGAAGAGTCTCAACCATTGAGCCAAATACCTGCCCCTTATACTGCTTCTATTTTCTTAGTTCAGAAAAAAAAAATTTAGGATTAATTTATTTATTTGAAAGGCATAATGACAGAAAGAGAGGGAAAGACAGGGAGAGAGAGATCTTTTACCACTGGTTTTCCTCTCCAAATGGACCCAAGAGCTAGGTCTGTGCCAAGCTGAAGCCAAAAGCCAGGAACAACTCCATCCTGGGTGCCAGAGCCCCTTGTACTTAGGCCATTTTCCATTGGCTCCTCAGGCACTTTTAGCAGGAATACTGGATTGGAATCCCAGCAGCTAGAACTTGAACCAGCACTCAGATATGGGATGCTGGTATCTAAAGTGGCAGCTTAATCCACTGTACCATAACGCTGCATTCTCTTACACTTCTTTTAAAATCTTTTAACTCCTTGCAACCTATAGGAAAAAATCTACTGTATATATCATAACATTCAATATCTTTGAAGTAAATTCTCTCTTCAGCCATATGATTTTTTCCTCTTTGTTACATAATACATACTGAAGAACATGTTCTAGTCATTCTCAGATATTCACAGGTTCATACAAAATAAAGCCTACTTGGGCCATCTTCTACTGCTTTCCCAGGCCATTAGCAGAGAGCTGGATCAGAAGAGGAGCATCCAAGACACAAAACAGTGCCAATACAGGATGCTGGCACTGCAGCCAGAGGCTTAACCTACTATGCCACAGCACTGGACCCAAGGTGCTATACATGCTTATGGCAGTTTTACTACTGTCAGCATTTGTGGACCATTAAAGGCTAAAGGGAGTAAAATTTTTTTTACAAAAACCAAACAATAAAATGAAACTTCTATCAGAGTGATTCAACTATTTAATTAAGAATCAAATCTTGGCTGTCAGCCCTATGGCACAGCGGGTAAAGCTGCTACCTGTGACGCTGCCATCCCATATGGGCACCAGTTTGTGTCCTGGCTGCTCCATTTCTAATTCAGCTCCTTCCTAATGTGCCTCAGAGGCAACAGAAGATCACTCAAATGCTTGGGCCCCTGCCACCCATGTGGGAGACCCAGATGAAGCTCCTGCCTCCTGGCTTTGGCCTGGCCCAGTGCTGGCCATTGCAACCACTTGGGGAGTGAACCAGTGGATGGAAGATGTCTCTGTCTCTCTTTCTTCTTCTCCCTTTCTCTCTGTAACTCTTTCAAATAAATAGATAAATCTTTCTTAAAAAAAAAAAAAAAGAATTAAATCCTGGAGTGGGCATTGTAGTGCAAATGGTTAAGTCACCACACTTGGGACACCTGCACCCATGTTGGAGTGCCTGGGAAAGAGTCCTGTCTCTACTTCCCATCTAGCTTCCTGCTAATGCACAACCTGGAAGATAGCAGATGATGGCCCAAGTATTTGGATTTCTCATACCCAGGATGGAGTTCCTGACTCCTGGCTTTAGAATCCCTGACTGTTAGAGGCATTTGGGAAGTGAACCAGCAGATGAATGATATCTCCCCCCACCCCACCCCACGCTCTCTCTCTGTCTTTAAAATAAAGTAAAATAAACAAAACTTTTTTTTTTTTTAAAGAATCAACTATCTAGTTTCTAAACTGGAAAGAAGAAATTTCTATGACTCAAGAATTTTGGGAAAATATTTAATATAAGATTCATGATCCAACTGAAATAATTCTACTATATGGATGTCTGATCTCCACTGAAAGGATTCTAATCCATTTCTATTTCTTACAGCAAGGAAGGACTATTTCAAAGTTCTGAAGTTCTCAGATCCACTGACAACACCAGCTACTAAAGAAACAGAGATCTAATTCACATGTCCTTTCATCTGCTTAAAGTAACAAAAATTAATCACTGCATGTTTACTGTTCTATAATAGGGCAAATGTTAGAGATGTCAAGCAAACAAAATTTATTATATAATAAATGAATCAAGATGAAACTTTTTCCAGGATACAGATTATTTCCAAAATTAGAATGAAGAAAACTGATTTAATATGAACTGAGTAGATAATAATTCAACAAAATCATAGCTATTTACAGATATGATTTTTAAAAGCTTATTTAAGCATTACACGTTTGTCTGTGTAACATTTTGTAAAGAAGAAAAAATTTAAGGAAAAAGAGATGTACAATGCAAAAAGGAGAAGACAGCCACTGTAGAATGGCTCATGGCATGAATTAGGTTATCAGAAATGTCTACAACGGAATGTGAAAAACAGGGAGCACATTTGCTGTCTGCTTGTAGAGGACTTAGACTAAGGGCATTCTTTTGCTACCTCTGCCAGGAGATGCATGGCTCCTGAGAATGCATACCACATTAATTCCCCAGCTGTTCACATGCACACAGACAGCTGCTGCTGTTACTGCCTCACACTTACAGTAGTCTGTCAGCACCTCTAATCTCTGCCATAGCAGACAGACCACTCAGCTAAGGCCTCTGCGGCCTCCCAAGGAAAGAATCTCTCAACAGGGAAATGGATGGCACTAGGCTGCCAGCTGTGAGCCTCAGAGGTGTTGGCTGCATGTTGCTGGGTTTATTAGCTGTTGGGCAATTCTCACCAAAAAATGAGCTTAATAAAATATCCTCAGTACAGAAATTTACTGAAATCTTAATACTCAATGAGAAACAGAATTTGATCTACAAAAATACAATTCACAGACATCTTGAGAATACATCTATTTTATAAAGTAGTTATGCATATCTAAATGAACAGAATAAAAAAACCTAAAAGAAAAAGAAATAAAAATTTAATAAAAGAATAAATCAAGAATTTAAAGGCAAAGATTTTATGTATTTTACATGATTTTTTTTCAACTATGAAACAATCATAAAGTTTTAAAAACATTTAAAAAAACCATTTAATACCTCAAATTAAGGTAATATTCCCCTCTATACTTTCGGATTTCTGTATTAACTTCTAGAGTCTTAAAGTCTTTAAGTTTTTTTCTCATTAAACAGCTGCACAGTGTTATCACAGCTCTGTAGTCTGTTACAAAGAGAGGCCAACATACTAACTGAATATCCTAAACTAATTTATAAAGAACATCCAAAATCACATTCTTGGGTCCCACTTTTAAAAATGGCATCATATTTTATATAATGAAATTATATAAGTTTTATATTTTATATAATAAATCTTATATATAAATTCATATTTTATATACAATAAATTTTATATTTTATAATATATTTATAAATTATTTAATATTTATTATTAGTAACTAAAATTATTTGTTGTTAGTATTAGTAATAGCTTTCTAAAAGTACCTTGATCTTTGTGTTTCTAAAATTTTCCCCAGTCCATTTATTGATCTGAAATATATTTAAAAAGGAGAAAGGAAGGGTAAAAAAGTAAATGTTAAAATTTGTAAAATGCACACAAACCATATTCTTTTTAAAGCAGGAAATATACAAACAAAATATAACTACAACTTGCAAAAACAGAAAAACAAAACTTACATTTTGTTACAGATTAATCGCTTTCCTTTCAAACAATTATCATTCATAGATCATTCATACATTAAGAAAATATGCTAGCCAGCGCTGCGGCTCAATAGGCCAATCCTCCACCTGCAGCGCCGGCACACCGGGTTCTAGTCCCAGTTGGGGTGCCAGATTCTGTCCCGGTTGCTCCTCTTCCTTTCCAGCTCTCTGCTGTGGCCTGGGAGTGCAGTGGAGGATGGCCCAAGTACTTGGGCCCTGCACCCCATGGGAGACCAGGATAAGTACCTGGCTCCTGCCTTCGGATCAACGCGCTGCGCTGGCTGCAGCGCACCAGCGGCAGCGGCCTTTGGGGGGTGAACCAATGGAAAAGGAAGACCTTTCTCTCTCTGTCTCTCTCTCTCACTGTCCACTCTGCCTGTCAAAAAAAAAAAAAAGAAAAAAAAGAAAGAAAGAAAGAAAATATGATACACAAAAACCTACTGGACAACCAGCAGCACAGGGGCTGCCTGTGATTTGCAAAACTATTCTGCAATTTAGAAAAAATGATTCCTAAGTTGTCAGGAATTCGAGAGTCTTTCAAGTGAGTGGACAACCAAAATTTTTACTGATAAACAACTTTCTCTTTAGGCCAATACTATAGAAATGGCCATACATACAATAAAATCATGGAACATGGCTCCTTTTAAATGGCAGCCATTAAAAACTTCTTGTGAAAGCCCTTTAAACATTTTGTACTGCCCATCTATTTATCTTTATATCATTAATTTTGTTCTTTAGGGTACTTGCCCAAGATACCTGTTGCCTGTTCAAGATGTTCTCATGGGTAAGCCTTCCCACACAGTGCAGTGGTTCTGAGTCAAGTGTCTTTACTATTTACATTTTTAGCTACTTTACACAATTCTTAATCTCATTTGCATATACTCTATAACTCGAGGGTTATCACCTCTCAAACATGTTTACTTTCTCTCACCTTCTCAATGATGATTTTGAGTTGGTCACAAGTGTTATGTATAATGAGAATAAAAAGGGTCTGTAATTTATCAAACTCTTTTTTTATTTGACAGGTAGAGTTATAGACAGTGAGAGAGAAAGAGAGAAAGGTCTTCCTTCCATTGGTTCACCCACCAAATGGCCACCACAGCCGGAGCTGCACCGATCCGAAGCCAGGAGCCAGGTGCTTCCTCCTGGTCTCCCTTGTGGATACAGGGACCCAAGCACTTGGGCCATCCTCCACTGCCCTCCCGGGCCACAGCAGAGAGCTGCACTGGAAGAGGAGCAACCGGGAATAGAACCAGCACCCATATGGGATTCCGGCGCCACAGGCGGAAGATTAACCAAGTGAGCCACGGCGCCGGCCCTCAAACTCCTTCTAAAGTTTAGGTAGGCAACAAACTCACTAATAGTCAAACTTGCCAGTGTCAGAAATATAGCTTAGAAAGTCAACACAGGGATATTAAAGGAAGTAATAATAGCACTCATTTTACCCCAAAAATGTTTGCTAAACAGTTTCTACCTAGCAATTAATTGGTACACAAGATTTTGAAAAGAAAAATAAAGCTTTAGAAAACCAGTGTCAAAAGAGGAAGGGGCTGGCATTGTGGCACAGCAGATAAAGCCACCACCTTTGACACCAGCTGATTCCAGCTTCCTATAATTGTGCTTCCTTGGAGGTAGCAGATGATGGGTCAGTAATTGGGTTCCTGCCACCCACATGGCAGACTTCAAGGAGTTCCTAGCTCCTGGGTTCAGCCAGGCTCACCTTTGGCCATTGTAAACTTCTAGAGCAGGAACCAGAAGGGAGTTCTATCTGTCTGTCTGTATCTCTTTGTCTCTTAAATAAAATAAAATTATTAAAAATTAAATAATAATGATCATCAATAAAAGCTACTGGATGTCTCATTATAAATAGCACTTACTAGTTTAAGTTTTACAAAATAATTCAAAACAAAGTCCCTGAACTATAATCTCATTTGAAAAGACCATCTCAATTTTCAAAAGGAATGGGAGTCTCCAGAAAAGTCAGCAAAAATGGCTACTGGATTATTTATCACATATCTGAGTATTATTCATATTGCGCTATGTTACTCAGCCTTGGCCCTGGACCCTGAAGACATTAAAGGAAGCCGGAAGACAAGGCATAGCTGGCAGTTAAGGGAAACATAAAGTCAATAAGAATTCAGGGAAAAGTGAGATCACCTGAGTCAGGAAAGACTTCCTAGAGCACATGGAGGAAGGGAGAGAAAACAAGCTCTACAGAATGCATAAAATTGCTGAAAGGAAAAAAAAAAAAAAAAACCTCAAGATGAGGAAATTCAAGGACTGGCAGAGTGAGAACATGTTATGAGAAAAGAGGGTATTTGGCAAGGCACACCCATGGGAAAGTAAATTAACCATCCTGGACAAAGTTAGGGAAGCTAAAGAGAAGACAGGAAAAGAAGGACTCAGAGGACCTTGAATATCAGCCTACAAATTTTGAACTATATTCTGCAAGGAACGGGAATGATTTTTTTATTACTATTTACACCAGCCAATTATCCAACAACCTTATACATAATTCCCTAATGGTCCTTGAAGCAGATCAATTTTGAATCTTAAGTTTCCTTAAGAACAACAGTCACAGCAAAAATATTTTGTATAGAACACCTGTAATATTTTACCTAATGGTTGTTCTTAATTTGTTTAAATCTTCTTCTGGAACTAAGTCTGTTTTATTCATGAGAATAATATCTGCCAGAGCAACTTGCCTAAAACAGCAAACAAAGAACAGATGTCAAAAGGAAAATGTTAAGAAACTAGAATACCAACAACTTATTCAGATAAATGTATCAGTTAAGAATTATACAGTGCTTTACAGCACTGATTCAGTTTACTCTTAACCTATTTAGTCTTCAGATAGTACACATGATTTATATTTACCAGTATATAAACTCAAATTTCATATTCCAGTATTCCCTGAAAAAGTATTCACAAAACCATCTCACTACTCTAGAGCTACAAAGACAGGTCTCAAAAAGTTAATAAATGAGAGGTTAATTTTCAACTCATACTTTTCTTTGTAAAGAAAGCATAAAATTAAGATAACCAAAACTGCAGGAGAAAGGATAGCCTACTAACTCAGCTATTCTTGCAATATTCATTATAATTTTTCACAGAAATACAAAGACTAAGCTCACTTAACATTACATAGGTTTTCTGTAACTACATTTTAGAAGATATGTCTGCTTCATTATGAACACACATTATTTCTGTGTTACTCAAGTTAAATAATCCAGTTAACTGCATGCTGTACAACAAAGCAGACTGTTAAAATTAGAAGTTCTATCTTCTATTAGTAAGAGTAGTGAAACTGAAGATTCTTTCCATTATTCTCAGTCTTCAGGAAACTAATCACTGGACTAGGTGTTTCTGTCTTGTACTGCATTTCAAATAACACAAATTCTCAAAAACAAATGGACTTTCATTCACTGAAAAAGCAGCTTTCAACCGAACATACATCACAACCTCATTCAACTATGAGTAAAACTTGCATGAACAAACACTAAATGTACCTATCTCAAACTATAAACAATTGTAACCTTTAATAGGAGGACTTTTATATTCAATTTTCTTTTAGCTTTTATATTTTATATATTCCTTTTTCCTATTGGATTCCTTATGTTTTCTATAGTAGTTATTTTCATAAGAAAAAAACACAGAAATATTTAAGTTCATTTTCATCTGAATCATAATTATATACAAAAGGCAGTGTTTAGGCATGACAAAACAAGAGTATCAACTCCCAAATGCTAGGGAATCAATTGTTTGCTATAGTATTTACAACTTAGGTCTGCATCATCTGCAGCAATTCCCAAGAGGCATCACTAAAAACTAGCCACAAATTTAGTGATTGTCATCTGTCCCCAAGCCTTAAGGGGCCACTAGCAAGAACTGCTTGGAAGGGCTGGCACTGTGGCATATCGAGTAAAGGCTGCAGTGGTACAAGCCCCGGCTGCTCTACTTCTGATCCAGCTCTCTGCTATGGCCTAGGAAAGCAGTAGAGAATGGCCCAAGTACTTGGGCCCCTGCACTCGCATGGGAGACCAGGAGGGAGCTCCGGGCTTCTGATCAGCACAACTTCAGCTGTGGTGGCCAATTGGGGAATGAACCAGCAGATGGAAGACCTCTTTCTTTCTCTCTCTCTCTCTGCTTCTCCTTCACTCTCTGTGTAACTGTGACTTTCAAATAAATAAATAAATCTTTAAAAAACAAACAAAAAAGAACAGGTTGGGGTAGGCAAGCTAATTTAAAGATCTAAAAGTCTAAAAACAAATCAGGAACATAAAGGAACTTTCTAAAAAATAATTAAGACTGTTTCTGTATTTTTTCTCTACTGTTCACAGTGAACACAAATCAAATGAATTATTGTTTTTAAAAGGCACTAAGTGAGCCAAGTGTTTTAATAATAATCTTTAATCTCAAGGAAAGTATGAAAACAAGAAAATACTTTTAAAATTTAATATTCCCCAAATACCTCACAAAGAATTCTCTTTGTGCTACAATAAAAATAGATTTAAACAAAATTTAACAAAAAAGATAGCAGTAACTCATCTAAGGGGAAAAAAATTTTCTTTGAATATGCTTTTATATTTCTTAAGTCTTCATAGTAATGATTTTCTTTCCAACTAGCCAGTAATTAAAATATATATACTTTAAATATGAATACCTAGTAGCTTCATTGATAAGGCCATCAGGTTTTTCTTCAGTTAAATGCTAAATGAAAACAAAATTATAAAAAAGTTACTGTGTTGTAATACAAAAGCTAATGTCAATGTAAAGGATTTTACTGTAAAGATTTATTCCTCACTGCTAATAAAATCTTCAAGTCCCATTACGGATATATAAATTCATGAACAGTTTTTCTAGGTGAAAACATTTTTCTTCAACCTTTGGAATTTTTTTCCTACAGTGAACCTATGGTTGGGGGCAGGGAAAGAGCAGGGGAAGGAGTCAGGGGAGGGAGAGGAGTGTGAAGCAGGGTGTAAGAATTTATTCCCCTGGGGTCGGCACAGTAGGTTAATCCACAGGCTGTGGTGCCAGCATTCCATATGCACTCTGGTTCTAGTCCCGGCTGCTCCTCTTCCAATCCAGCTCTCTGCTATGACCTGGGAAAGCAGTGGAAGATGGCCCAAGTCCTTGGGCCCCTGCACCGGTGTGGGAGACGTAGAAGAAGCTCCTGGCTCCTGGCTCCTGGCTCCTGGCTTTGGATTGGCACAGCTCCAGCTATTGCAGCCATTTGGGGAGTGAAACAGAGAATGGAAGACCGTCCTCTGTCTTTTCCTTTCACTGTCTGTAACTCTACCTCTCAAATAAATAAAATCTTAAAAAAAAAAAAAAAAAAGTATACTCCTGCTATTTTGTTTTTCTTAAGGAGTGAACCAGATTGTTCTGTATCTGCTCTGTGTTCTCCCTCTGCCTCTCAAAAAAATTAACTTTAAAAAAAAAAACACAAAAATCCTCAAATTTAAATAATGTCATTAAAACATAGAAAATTATAGTTCAGATTTGGGGCATTTGCCCTTTTATAAAACTGTCCTTTTAATGAACATTCATTATCACTTTTTTAAAGGGATAGTCACTGAAATTGTCCTTTCCTAAAATCAAACATTCTTCCCACCATTCCTACCCCTATGGCCCAAATTTCCAAACCTATGTCACAGAAAACATGAGCTCAACACTTGGTCCTTCAAACTCCTTGGAAATAAATAAGGTATGGGAAGGATGCAGTCCTGATTCTAGCCTAAAGCAGTTTATCACTCAGATATTCACACCCACACCCAGAGTGATCTGGCCTCTCAGGGCAACTGTGGATTTTATTGGCCTCTCCTGAGAAAGGTTAAATCAAAAACAATAACAACAACAACAAAAACCACAAAACACTATTTTGGCATTAATTTGGTGGCCCATGAGATAGCTTTCATTTCTCAGCTTTTATCTTTCATCTTTACATTTGAATTGAACTTTTATAAACTATAAAATCTTATATACGCATTATTTAATTTAGGCTTTATAATAATTATAGGAAGTGACTTCCCACTTTAGAAAGGAAAAATGTATCATCTTCACCATCACAGGTGGTCATATTTTTACATACCATTACAAGGTTTTTTTTTATTATTATTGAAAACAGGCTCTACAGAAGCAAAATGAATATAATTTTTAAATCTTGGCCGGCACCGCGGCTCACTAGGCTAATCCTCCGCCTTGCGGCACCGGCACACCGGGTTTTAGTCCCGGTTGGGGTACCAGATTCTGTCCCGGTTGCCCCTCTTCCAGGCCAGCTCTCTGCTGTGGCCTGGGAGTGCAGTGGAGGATGGCCCAAGTACTTGGGCCCTGCACCCCATGGGAGACCAGGAAAAGCACCTGGCTCCTGCCATCGGATCAGTGCGGTGCGCCAGCCGCGGCAGCCATTGGAGGGTGAACCAACAGCAAAGGAAGACCTTTCTCTCTGTCACTGTCTGCTCTGCCTGTCAAAAAAAAAATTTTTTTTAAATCTTCCTGAAAGTTTTTTATGTCATATAAAATCAGTGTGTGTGTATATAGTGCTACACAAATGTTAACAATCACATAAGAGTATATATATATACCTAAAAATCACCTAATAATTACATTCAAGATTATTTTAGCAAAGCAGTTTCATTATTCATGGAGAAGTGGTCACAGAGATCCCTGGATTTTCTGAAGCATAACAGCAAACTCGTAACTCAACTTTATACCCTTGGGTAGGTCTAGAGTGGAAAACAACTTGTCAAAAAGTTTTACAAATTTTATTATGAAGGCAACAAAAACTAAAACCATAGCAATGATATATTTATTCCACTTTGTTCATAATCCTATAAATTCAACAGCAGAACCTGCAAATATGGAATTCAAGAATTTGGGAGATACTGTATCAAAAATTCATCCATGCCTCAAGACCATGTTGCGTATTTTTTCCTAATTATCCTTAGTAAAAGGCTGTACAAATCCCATTATTATGTACTCTGCCATTGTTCCTAGACCCAGGGATAGTACCTGGTACACAGGCTCAACAAGTATTTGTTGAATGGACTGTAGTTAACATCCCTACTTGTTGACACAGGTACATAAATGTGTTATTTATCTTTTAAGGTTCATTTATTTATTTATATGGAAAGTTACAGAGAAAGAAGAGGGAAAAGGGGAAGAGAGAGATCGATCTTCCACCTGCTGGTTCATTCCCCATATGGCTGCAAAGGCCAGAGATGAGCCAAGCTGAAGCCAGGAACCAGGAGCCTCACCTGGGTCTACCATCGGGGTAGCATAGGCCTATGCTTGGGCCTTCACACACTGCTTTTCCCAGGCCATTAGCAGGGAGCCAGACTGGAAATGGAGCAGTCGGGACACAAACCAGTGAGTGCCCACACAGGATGTCAGTGTTGCAGGCAGTGGCTTTACTGGCTATAACGACGCTGGCCCCATAAATATGCTATTTTTAAAATGCCATTTAACACGCAGCCACAAATCCTTTTCCATTGAACAGTAAATTTACTTAAAAATGATACACTGGTAGTAAGGCAGCTGTCTCTGAATGATAATGTAATACTGAACACTCTTAAAAATTAAAACTATTTTTCAAGACATTGTAATTTTGACTTTTTGGAGGCTTTCTTTATATAAGAATTTGGAGCTATTTGGCTGTGACACTGGTGAAACACAAATAAGATATAAAAGGAGAATCAGACTTGTTCTTGAATTTCCATACCTAAATGGAACTAATAAAATTGTATTTTTACCAATCCATTTTTTGCTCCTGAAGATTAGAAATATTTACTCAAAGCTAACTAGGGTGGTAAGCAAAATTTATCCCAGGCAATTTGAAGTATCAAATACAAAAATAAATTAAAACCCTCAGAATAAAAATTGTCAATATGTACAACTCTGTTAAGAACATTATAGTTGTCATTTGTGTTTATAGCAAAGGAGAAAAACATTCTGTTCTATGTACATATGAAAGCCATACAAACATTAAAAATAATAAATTTATACTAATGTTTTTCCTGAATATCAGCCCAACATTTCACTTACACAATTTCCTGATTTCCTAAGCCAAACTTCACAATAAGACTCAAACCAATGTCTACAATTCAAAAGAACACTGTCTAATAATACATTACACACCATTTGCTCAGACATCTTCCATTTATAAAATAAAAACAAAATGAAAGTTTGGCATTCTATTCTACTTGTATAGGTATATAAAGAAAAAATTTTGTGGAATGTTTTTTCAAAATATTGTATATATGTCCAAACAATGCCTCATCTTTACTTAGAGATGATGCTTTTGCTTATATATCAAAAAGACAAAAATTATTTTGGTATTAATTAATCTAATATATTCAAAAGTCTAAGGTTCAAGTCCTCAATTTAGCCTACCACAAAAAATAAAGGGGAGAAAAAAGAAGATGAGATGTTGGAAAACTGGTACAAAGTTTCAGTTCTACAAGATCAATAAATTCCGGAAAGCAAATCACAGCATGGTGATACAGTTAACAGTACTGTACTGCACTGAAACTTGCTAAGAGTATAGATCTTAAATGTTATCACCATATCCCCCGTCCCAAAATAATAATGACATGAGGTGATGGAGGCATTAATTAGTTTGTTTCACAGCATGTTTCACAATGCATACATATATGAAAATAGTACACTGTATACCTATATATACAATTTTGCGGGGTCAATTATATCTCAATAAAGTTGAGGAGACAAAGAAACAAAGGAAGCTTTGAAATATCACAATTACGGATAACAACCTCACAAATAGCTACTGTCTGTTCTTTTTTGCAAAAATAGAGAAACTAGTTGGATTATCTACCTAACCTCCCCAAAAAAGGGAAGAAAAAACCATAGTAAACTTACTAGCTAAGAAACAACACTGCTGTTGATCAAAGTGGAAATAAATCTAGTGTCAAAGATGTCAGATGTCATTTTAAAAAGAATCAGCAGCAGCAGCCAATTCTTTTAAATGGATTCGTTATAGATCGAACACTATTTTAGTTTTAAAAAAATTATTGCATAATGTCAATCTATTTGTTTTTCTGCTCTTTTTCGAAGTCAAACTGCTTTCTGACTGAATTATTTCAACACCTTGTGCAATATAACAGAAGAACCAAAAGGAAACCTCTCACTTGACCTTTACTGTGTAACTTCATTCATTGATTCCATTGCATTAAATGCTGTCACATTTGTAGAACTGAAAAGAACAATGTCAGTAGTCAAGGTGTCAAGTCCAGAAAATAGAGAGCTGTCATTTTAAGTTGTCCAATTCTTTGCCCATGATTAAAAAATGAATATTTCAGATCAATGGGTGACAATCCCATTAGAGTGATAGCCCATGATATCAATTACCACTTCAGTTTCAATTTGGCTGGCTGGCCACAGGGTACCATTTCTCAGCTTTACTTGTGATGGGCTGGCTCTGTGAAGCATGACACCCCTAAATTGCTGCCCATTATCCAAGTGTCATTACTTGTACTGCCTCAGAATTCTCTGAATCACAAGCAGCCACTGAGGTCAAGCTTTGCAACCAAAGGAATTGGACAAGTTAGCAAATTCTTTATATAAAGGCAAAGTTATTTATCTGGTATCCGACTTAGAAAATCTAAAATTTCCATTATCTTGACAGTATGTCAGTTTTGTGTAGGTATATTGATTTAATAATTTAAGAGGTTTTATCAAGGTGGCAGGGGGTTAAATGTTGACTATGTTTGCATTATTCAGAATGCTGTTTTGTTTTTTTTTTTTTTGTTTCTATCATACTGGTAAATAGATTTCATTTAAACCCTCTCCATACCCAACTACACAGATATAATTATAACTATAATCATAAAATACAGAGTTGTACTTTGGGTTATGGTACTTAAAGTCTAACAACAAAAAATGTCCTAGCTGCCAGCTGTTCCATAGGTATCTGAAATTAGGTGAATTTACAGAATAAATGGATTCAAACATGCCTGTGAAAACATTTAAAATGAAAAGTTTGGGCTTTTTCTAGTTATTTCCACAAACATTTTGCGAGGAATATCATAATTTCAGAAAATCCACTGGAATTTTTCAGACTAATCTGCAATATTCAGGAACTTCCTTTGATTCAAAAGACTATCGACACACTTAGATTTAAAACCCTGAAAAAAAAAATCTTCAAACTTCTCAAATTAGGGCATTGTATCCCTGAAGGAACTAAAGATCCAGTGAAGGGGTATTAGTCACTTAATAAATTGGACTTCTTTCTAAGCATAATTTCATTGAAGATTTGGGGAAAAATAAACTTTAAAAATTAACAAGTTCATATACATTATGGAGAATATAAAACTGACAAATTTTTTTTCAAATCCGAAGTTTATTTACAAACATAGCTAGTATGAGTTCAAGAGTTTGATTTTTCAAAGACTGCACCTCTTAAAATATTGTTATCTGGTAAATGGATGGCCTAAAACATCCTTATTTCTTAAGCAGTTGATGTCATTCTATGAAGAAAGGTGCAGCAAATCCAGATCTAAGATATAAAGTCATCATAACTAGCAACCTCCACTTGTTTTCCACTGAAAATGGCAAATTCTTCCTGGGCCCTCCTCATAGTGGCTCCTACAGACCTTGGAGACTGAGAACCTCCAGATGCTCTGTCTCAACATGGCGCTGTTGGAAGAGACATAAGAAGGGAGAAATGGCGGCACCACAGCAAGCACGACCTTCCTGACATAAATTTTTAATTTTTTTTTTTTTTTTTTTGATAGGCAGAGTGGACAGTGAGAGAGAGAGACAGAGAGAGAAAGGTCTTCCCTTGCCGTTGGTTCACCCTCCAATGGCCGCCGCTGCAGCCGGCGCACCGCGCTGATCCGATGGCAGGAGCCAGGATCCAGGTGCTTTTTCCTGGTCTCCCATGGGGTGCAGGGCCCAAGCACCTGGGCCATCCTCCACTGCACTCCCTGGCCATAGCAGAGAGCTGGCCTGGAAGAGGGGCAACCGGGACAGGATCCGGCACCCCGACCGGGACTAGAACCCGGTGTGCCGGCGCCGCAAGGTGGAGGATTAGCCTATTGAGCCACGGCGCCGGCTCCTGACATAAATTTTTAAACAGTGAATTTAAACTTCTAAGAAATTATTACTTTGGACCCTTATCCATATCCCTATATTGAGGCAGGTTGGGATAGGAGGGTAGAAATGGAGATAATTTCACTATCTGCTGCCTTTAGTGATATTTCACTAGGCAAATTGAAAAATACTACTTTATTTTATAAAAAAATACACTTTTAAATATCTTTTTGTTATAACTTCGGTTCCATTTTCACCATTTATTTGGAATACAGGGCATCATTAAGAGTTTCAGATCAATAAGGGAACAAACTTGGCAGTAGAGTATTATAAGCAGGACCTGAATTATGGGAATAAGTATTTTTCCAGTTCAAGAGATAGAAGACAGAATAGGTGCGAGATCTCCAAAGGAGAACAGGCTCACATTACATAGCCCCACCAAAAGGTTTTGGCTTCTACTCACTAAAGGACAGAAAGAGTGCCAGTCTTGATCAACCATCTATGATCTTCATCACAGCAAATCAGAATCTCCAATTTTTCAAAAATAATTGTAGATAGAAGACAGGGAAACTCCAGACTGACTTATAAACTGATCTGGATGACCACTGACCAGTCCTCCTTCCACGGGCTGGCAACATTTTCAGAGTGACCACTGAAGCAAGGAGCCTTTCATGTGTTCTCAGTTGTTACACAGAGCACAGAGGCTGGTGTTAGTCCTGCCAGACCACCTCAGCCACCCCTCCCCCAAGAGCACCTGTGCATTTATACAACATGCCCGTCATGGTTCTGGCTGCTACTGTGCTGTCATCTTCTACTCCTTTCTCAGTGATGACACCAACTGCACTACAGAGCAAAGCCAGAGATCCTAGAGTGTTAACCCCTTTCCTAGTCACCATATTCCAAATCTGTGCGTTTCTTGGTTTGGACCAGGCCAAATTCTGTGTTTCCTTTAATCCTAGCCAAAGACTGACCCAAATATAGCCCTGTCATGCAACATCCTCCAATGGCAGAAAAAGCCAGTTCGAATCTGCCCTGGCTTTTATCATAAAGCTCCTGACAGTAAAATAAACTCATCTGTATCCTGCATGAGGTACTATGGATCCACATTTAATTTAGGAGACAGAAAGTACATACCAGTTGGCAGGATGCAGGTCAACTTTGTGTGTGACTAACCCGCTCCCGCTGGCTCTAAAAAGCCGGCCAAGTCTTCTGTGGTTTTGTTGCTGTGTCCTCTGCTGCCCTCCAGACTGCTGCAGCAAACTGCCAGTCTGCTTCCCTCACAGCTGTCTCTCGCCAGGAACCCCTGGAGACCTGAGATCCCACTGCCTCCTTCATATGCTGACTGTTAAAGAACTTACTAAGTGCATTTTATACATTCAAATCCATTCAAATACATTTGAGGATCTCAGCAGATAACAGAAACATGCAAAACAGGACATTTTTCAAAGTAAAGTGTCTCCTCGCTAATTCTACTTACAATTCCTGACATTTTCAAAACAAAGAAAAGCAACATTTTAAAAAAATTAATTTCCAGCCTGCCTTTGATAGCAGCTTATCAAGAAAAATAAAATCTCACATGCTTTATCAAGCTTACTTTTCTCAGTTAAACAAAAAAGGTCAATATTGGAGGTGAATCCTAGTGAAGAGTTACACAAAACCAAACTTTCTCTGGATTCTATATGCTCACTATAAAATATTACAATTCCAAATTTTATTACCACAGCAATCAGAGTAAAAGAAAAAAATATTTGATTTAAAAATAAAATAATAATGAGAAAACACATAAATTTCATCTATAGTTCAGGATATTTTTTGAAAGATATTTTGGTAAAAAAAAATTTCAAACAGATACAAATAAAAGAAAATAATACAGACAACCCTCCTCATGTTTCCAGCTCTGAATAAACAATCAGTAACTCACAGCAATCTTTCAACTTACTTTAAATCCATATTTTGAATCCACAACAGTTATGATACCTAGGAAGGAATAAACATTTTAATCATCCTTTGTAAAAAAAAAAAACCTGTTTATTAATATGGCACTATATTTGAGAATGAAACTTAAAAGCTAATATTTCAGTTCACAATGCTACAATAAAATGTTTATTTTTCTCTTGACAGTGCTGCAATTTAATTCAATTCCAGTAATAAGTCAGTGTACATAAAATATGTACTAGGTGATTACTGTTATTTTAAGGTATTAGACAGGATATAAAATAAATGAACTTTTAAAATGAAATAAACAAAAAAATAAAATTTTCCCTGGTGTTTAAAAACTTATAAGCCAAAACACAGCAGGAGAAATTTCATATATGAAGTCAAATGTGAAAAATTATGTTAATTTATAACTTATTTTTACATAATCAAAATTGGGCTTAACAAGTAAGTTACTGCTTAACAAATCTGAGACATTTTAGGATATCTCATTACCAACATCTCTCATCAACTCTAACTCACCAAAATATTTTATACAACATGTACCTAAGTTTCCAAATGAGCAATTAGTTGAACTATTTTGGAATAAATGTTAAATAATTTATTCAACTGATAACAGCTAAATGAGTTTAATGATGCCTAGAGAGTTCAACCAGCTACCTGTCACACAGAGAGTACAATGACAGTATCCACTTACAATGATTCCTAAATTTAATCTCCTAGCTTTTGAAAGACTGGTTTAAAAAAAGAAAGGGGGAAATGGAGAACAAAAAGAGAAAAGGAACCCAGCTGTTTAACTCAGGAAGTTTCTTAATGTCTAAAGTAAAGACACAGAAAATTTATAAATTAGACTGCCCAAAGTGCTCAAGTATGGGGTGCGTGTGTGTACTTACTCTTATCTTCAATGGAAAATGAAAGCAGAATTATGATCTGTCTGATTAAAATGAAAAGCTCTAATATTAAAAACATAAATCAGAGAATATAAGAAACCTACATAACATTCCAAAGGCAAGCCTTAGTGGAAGTACTAACTTGGGAGGAAGATTAAGACCCCACATCCCATTCTACCACTGCCTGAGGCTATAGTATCCAAGTAGAACAAAGAATGACTTCATCATCAAACTAATTAAATTTAAGAAGAGTAATGCCAGGATTTAAATTGTGATATGAACAACAATGATCTTAAATCATAAAAACAAAAACTTATTTTAAAAGAAAACAATGCTTCACTTACCATCAAGATAAATATCACTCCCCAATTCAGCATCAACCCAAAACATAGAAGCAACTGCACCTGAAAATATATAATATTCATGAATAAAAATATTTCTCTAAACTAAGAAACTTGACCCTATCTATTTTTTAATTTGTCCCAATGGAATCTGAAGGTAAACACACACACAAATCAAATCTGGGTGCCCAATTTCCTTATGGGAATTACAGTGATAGAATTTTTACTATTTATAATCATTTTAATCATTTCTCTCTCTCTCCCTGCTTCTCTAAAAAAAAGATCAACTCTTACCACTTACAAAGTTTCTACTAATGCTTTGGTAAATAATAATTTGCCAACATATTATTAAACAACTTGGGCACTATGTACAAATGACTTATTTTTATTTTCTCATCTACTGAATATGATAATCATACAGTTCACAAATAATGAAGTAAATCAAAATATCTAATTCTAAAATCAGTTGCCCAGAAGTAATTAATTTTTGTAGAATAGAAAGAACAAGAAGTAAAATTATATATTCTATGGCATTACTAATTAATCCTTGCACTATTTACTTGGTACAGGCAAAAAATTTGGGCTGGGGTGGGCATTTGGCATAGCAGTTAAGATGTCACTTGGGATGCTTCCATCCCATTATCAGAGTGCCTGGAGTCAAGAGTCAGGTCTGCTCCCAACTCCAGCTTCTTACAAATGTACACCCTGCGAGGCAGCAGGTGATCCCTGCACCCACATGGGCACCTTAGACTGAGTTTCCAGCTCCTGGCTTTGGCCTGGCCCAGGTCAGGCCATTGCAGACATTTGCAGGGGCGGTGATCAGCAGATGAAAGATCTCTGTGTCTCTTTGCCTTTCAAATAAATAAAATAAATAGCAAAAAAAAAAAAAAAAAAAGTCTGAGGAAAAATTATTTCTAAGTGACTACTTAAAACTTGTTTTTGACAGAAATTGGTTCAATACTAACCCACATACCGATTAGTATGCCACAACACAAGAGAAAGAAAACTAACAGCAAGGAAAGTATTTGATTGTTCAAAGCATCACAGACCCAGTTAGTGACAGTGCTGTCTAAAAGAATGAGCACAGAGGAAAAACAAGGATAACTGAACTCATTCCACTGTCTCAAGCTGTCCCCCTGCCCTGACAAGACGCAGCCCGCACGCATCACTCTGTGTCAACGGTGCAATACCTGTCAGCAGCTCCCAGTGATTACTCATGCAAGATATAGCAAGGACCACCAGATCTAATGGTTTCCTGATACCTATTGATTTTTTCCCAAAAACTTAATAGTTTTCCAATTTGACTGAAATAGGATTTGTGAGTAACAGGGGCTAAATCAATGTCTGTCCTTTTCAAGGAAATTACTTTACCATGACAATTATTTAGCTTAGAACTGGAGAGTGTCAGTCCTCGGAACAGGAAACAAGTGAATTGCCAATATGAGTTTTCTTTACTTTCTTGGCCAGAAACATGAATTTAATTGATAAGGGGAAAATGGTGAATATACTATCTCATTACCCTATACAACAAGTCCTGTTTTTTTTCAATAAAATACCTAACATCACATTGGACATAAAGCACTTTACAGTATTTAAACATTTGTTGATTTCTAGTCACATAAATAGTTTGTAAATCCTAGTGAGAAAAATCACCCCAGTTTGACAGCTACTGATTGACTTCATTTGCTTATCTTAACTCTTCCTGCTAAACAACTACCTCCAAATTGTACATAATTCTTTCTTGTGTAGCCTTGCAAGTATTATATCTAAGAAGAGCATCAGATTTTCAATTCAGCTGTCACTAGGCAATGTCTCATCTGGCAACATCTGAAGACCTTCTTGGTTGTCTCAGCTGGGGAATGCTTCTGACATGAGTAGAAGCCAGGGATATACTGTCAAACATGCTACAATGCTCAGGAAAGCCTCCCTAGCAGTAATTACCCTACCTAAAGTGTCATTTGTGCCAAAGCTAAAAAACCCTGAGCTAAGGTACAGGGTCTCTCTTCTTCAATAACTAATAAAAGAAATAGTAAATGCCAAAAAGTGCCAAAGTTTTATCAAAAACAAATATAAAAGGACATATAACCTCCCACCATAAATTCTGACTAGTGATAGTAAAAATAAGAAATAACATTCTTTTTTAAAATAAGATTTACTTATTTGAAAAGCAGAGAGAAAGAGAAAAAGAGAGACAGAGACACACACACACAGAGAGAGAGAGAGAGAGAGAGATCTTCAATCTGCTGGTTCACTCTGCAAGTGGCCAGGCTCAAGTCAGGAGCCTAGAACTCCATCCGGAGCTCCCACATGGGTGTCAGAGGTTCAGGCACTTGGGCCATCCTCCGCTACATTAACAAGGAGCTGGATCAGAATCGAAACAGCCAGAACCCCAATACACATTCATATGAATGCTGGACCAAAGGCAACAGCATAATCCACTGTGCCACGCTGGCCCCAAGAAACAAATTTCTACGTGACTTACAGACATTCTTAACTCTATCTCCAGAGTAAGAGATTATAGGGAAACAGTTTACAAAATCCTAACAACAGAAATACATCTCCCTTGCAAAAGGCAAGATGAGGAACCGAGGAAGTAATTAGCACTATAGGCAAAGGAAACAAAACCAAAAACAAAAATTTTGGGCAAAAAAGTAAGTCACCTTTAAGGACAGAGGAAATGAGACTTTTCCACATAACACTGAATGTTCCAATATAATATATAGTGACAAGCGCCAGTGAAAGTGTTCCTAAAGGATATTACTTTCTGCCAAATTATTTTTCAAGAAGGAAAGCAACTGGCAGACCTTCTCAAGAAAACAGCAGGTACTGAGACATGGCACTTACAAATTGTTACTAATAAAGTAAAAAAGAAAAAAAATGGAAAAGGAAACCCAGCCAACTCAAAACACTGAACCCCCCCCCCCCAAAAAAAAAAAAAATACCTAGGAGATTATGGAGCAACAGTTGCAAAATTCTAAGAAAAAAACTGATGCAGAAATTGTATACCTAGCCAAGTAATCCTTCAAGAATTAAAACAAAAGACAAATATTCTCTAGCAATGAAGTCTGTCAGAACTCAGAGAAGGTAGCACCTATAATCTGAAGAGTATCTGACCATTAAATTCAATCATCTGGGAAATTAGATTAACTCAGGACTGAAGAAGCCACAGTACTGGCAATATGCACTAAAACCAACTGAATATAGAACTCGAAGAATTAAGAATAATAAAATGTTATGAACTTAACAACATAAAGAATGCAATCACCCAAAACTAGGAGATAGGAGAAAGTATTGATTTCCTCATTTTTCATGCCAGGAAGTCAATGGAATTCCCTTAAAAAATCAAAACATGTAGTTTTTTAAAATGTCCATGTTAGGTTTTTTTTTGTAATCTTTTTTCCCTCATAATTCCCACTTCTTTCAGTAAAGCAACACTTATCAGAAATTCAGCAGCTCCGGGACCGGCGCTGCAGCATAGCAGGTAAAGCCACCGCCAGCAGTGCTGGCATCCCACCTGCATGGCAGTGCAAGTCCCCGCTGCTCCACTTTCAATCCAGCTCTCTACTATGCCCTGCAAAAGCAGTAGGAGAATGTAGTCTCATTTTTTATAACATTATTTCTGTATTTTTAAAATGAATTTATTTATTTGAAAGGCAGAATAACAAAGAGAGAGAAGGAGAGACAGAGGTTTTCCATCCGCTGGTTTATTCTCCAACTAGCTGCAACAGCCAGGTCTGGGCCAGGTAAAAGCCAGGAGCTTCATCCAGGTTTCCTATGTGAGTTCAGAGGTCCAAGTATTTGGCCATCTTCTACTGCTTTCTCAGATGCATTAGCAAGGACCTGGATTGGAAGTGAAGCAGCTGAGACTAGAATCAGTGCCCATATGGGATGCAGGCATCAAAGTGGCAGCTTAACCTGCTACACCACAATGCCTGCCAGTATTTCTGTATATTTAGACAGCTTTCAGAAGTATGTAGGGCAGAGCTTCCCAAATTTATACAAGTATAACAATAACCTGGATGACTGACTTAAAACAGCTTGCTGGCTCCCCAACCTTAAAGATTCTAAGTAGATCCAAGTTAGGCTCAATAATCTGCACTAGAGTAGGTAGTTAGCCTAGCAGTTAAGACAGGTGTCCCACATCCAATTGCCTACATTTGATGCCTGGCTCCAGCTTCCTGTTAATGTAGATCTGGGAAGCAGTGATAATGGATCAAATAATTGAGTTCCTGCCACCTACACAGCAGAAATGGATTGGTTTCCAGTTCCCGGGTGCTGTTCCCACAGCCCAGTGGGTCTCCTTATATGTTTCTATTGCTCTGTTGCTCTCTCAAATAAAAAGAAAAAAAAAAAGAATTTGCAATTCTATCATGCTCCCTGCTGAACTTGTTGCTAACAGACACCATATTATACCAAGTAGCACTGACATAGAGAGATCCCAAGGATGAAATTTACCTACTTGCAATTCACAGTGTTGACATATAGGATGAGTTTAAAAAAATTAAGCTATTATCTATATTTTTTAAATAATAAATGTTTGGGGGGCCAGTGCTGTGCCATAGCATGTTAAGCCACCATCTGCAGTGCTGGCATCCCATATGGGCACCAGTTCAATTTCTGGCTGCTTCCCTTCCAATCCAGCTCCTGCCTGGAAAAGCAGCAGAAGATAGCCCAAGTGCTTGGGTCCCTGCATCCACATGGGAGAGCTGGATAAAGATTCTGATTCCTGGCTTCATCCCAGCCCCGCCCTGGGCCGTTGCTGCAAACTTCAAGAGTGAACCAGCCATTTGGAGAGTGAACAAGCAGATGGAGGATCTCTCTGTCTCTCCTCTCTCTCTCTTAAATGACTTTCAAATAAATAAGTAAATCTTAAAATAATAAGAATAATAATGAATCTTTGGAGCCAGAGTTGTGACACAGTGGGTTAAGCCATTACCTTCGACGCCAGCATCCCATACTGGAGTATTGGCTCAGATACCGGCTGCTCCACTTCCAACCAAGCTCCTTGCTAATACAGCTAGGAAGTGGGACACAAAGGCCAAGTATTTCAAGTATTTGAGTCCCTACCACCCAAGTAGGAGACCTAGATGGAGTTCCAGGCTCCTGGCTTCAGACTTGACCAGCCTTCTGGTTTTAACCAGGCGATGGAAGATTTCTCCCTACCCTTCCCTCCCTTCCTCCCTCCTCCCTACCTCATTTATGTCACTCTACCTGAGAAAGAAATGGAAAAGAAAAAGAAAGTCCTTCTTTCTAAAATAAAATTAATGTTCTACCACTGCCCAGCCATAAAACCATTATTCTAAAGAAAGAAGAAAAATTAATCTATTTTTTAATACTTACAATAGTACAAAACCTTTCTCTGAGACCTTTAACTTTTCTCCCTTCCTCTGAGAAGCCGAAGCATGTTTTATTAAACTCAAGTTTCTCAAAGAAAAGGAACAAGAGTTTTTCTCTATGAAGAGGCAGAAATGGCCACAATGAAAAAATTATTTGCTGGGGCTGGCGCTGCGACATAGTGGGTAAAGCTGCCACCTGCAGTGCTGGCATCCCATGTGGGTACTGGTTCGAGTCCTGCCTGCTCAGCTTCCAATCCAGCTCTCTGCTATGGCCTGGGAAAGCAGAAAATGGCCCAAATCCTTGGGCCCCTGCACGCACGTGGGAGATCCAGAAGAAGCTCCTGGCTTCAGATCAGCACAGCTCCAGCCATTGCAGCCATCTGGGGAGCAAACCAGAGAATGGAAGACCTCTCTCTGTGCCTCTGCCTCTCTGTAACGCTGCCTTTCAAATAAATAAATAAATCTTTTTAAAAATTACTTGCTATTTCAAAAAATGGCATACATTTTTTTCTGACTTATCAGATTCTAGTTACTTTAACATTTAACTTTAACTAATACTAGTCCAAGTGCTATCATCAGAAACACCTATCAGAAAAGCACAAAAAGCCTGGCCTACTCTAAGGCCCAAAGCAGCCGCAATTCAATGCTGTTTTGCAAACATGGAGACAACGTGATTATGTAACGCCTTTAATTACAGTAGGCAATGGTTATATTTGAATCCTCCATATACTTCAATATTTGTTTTGGACCACCTTGGTCCTTTCAGAAAGTTACTCCCAAATACATTAATACAGTTTTATAAATCAGCCCAATGCCATAAGAAAGAACAAGAGTTTGAGTCACACTCATGGAATAAGCACTAAATGTTATGAAAACTGAGAATAAAGACTTTACCTAAAAATTATTTGGGGAAAATAATCAGACAGTAAAGTTTGATTTTGGTAAGAAGGTAACAGAAATCTATTCTTTGAAAGAGGTAAACTTTGTGTAACTTTCAAAGTTAAGTTCAGATGTATCTCATACTGTATGCACAATTATTAATTCACACTAATAAAATGACCCATTGGCTTGATTTTACTGTGTATTCTTTGATACCTTATGAAAACACTCAAAAATAAAATTACTTCAATTTTAACAGTAGAAAATCAAGATGCTAACAATAATATGAAAGGAATAAGTACTGGTATTTAAGTCCAAAAGGCTTCATTTCTTCATGATCTTCTGAAGAAGCTGAATTAGCAAGTAAACAGAAATAAAGTCTCTATATAGTAAAACCAACCAACTGTATATTTAGAATGTTTCTACTTTTCCTAACCTTACATATTTTTTTATTTTATTTTAATTTTTTACAGGCAGAGTGGACAGTGAGAGAAAGAGACAGAGAGAAAGGTCTTCCTTTTGCCGGTCGTTCACCCTCCAATGGCCACTGCAGCCGGAGCGCTGCGGCCGGCACACCGCGCTGATCCGATGGCAGGAGCCAGGTGCTTCTCCTAGTCTCCCATGGGGTGCAGGGCCCAAGTACTTGGGCCATCCTCCACTGCACTCCCTGGCCACAGCAGAGAGCTGGCCTGGAAGAGGGGCAACCGGGACAGAATCCGGTGCCCCGACCGGGACCAGAACCCAGTGTGCCGGCGCCGCAAGGCGGAGGATTAGCCTAGTGAGCCGCGGCGCCGGCCCCTAACCTTACATATTTTTAACAAACTCTGTTCTTACCAATAACTCTAAGTTAATCAATAAAACTTCAAATTCTATTAACAGTTCAAAAGCACCAACAAGTCCTATAATCATCATTCATCTGTAATGACAACCTGAATATTTTCCTTTGAACCAAAAGAAATTTTAAATCCAAAGTAAAGCTTTAATACTCATTTTAGATATTATTCTAATACGTCTCTTGAAAATGAAAAACAACTATATTTGGATTATTAATAAATAATGCCATTTCTTACCAGGATCTGCTAACCCAGTGGTCTCTAACAATATGTAATCAAATTTCCCCTTCCTCTGCATTAAATTCTCAATAGCTCTAATGCCATTGTCCCTGGAAAATATCAAACATAATACATAATTGATTACCTGAATAATTTTAAGTAATCATTAGAAAAAGTTCTAAATATATTAAATAACCCAACAATAACATATGTTTAGTTACATAAAAATTTAACTCCTTCCTAAGCTTCTAACAAAACTTTGCTTGTCCAATATTTACCAAGCATCCATGCTGATAGGTAAAAAGAAATATATGATGAACTAATACTTTATTAAAATTAAAAAGAGGGAACTTGATGAAACTAATGTCACAGTCACACTGGTTATTTTTAGAATTTTATAAAAGGAAAAAACCAACAAACACTGATGATAAAATATAGTAACTACAATAGTTTAACATAATAGCTAAAGGAACACTATCACTAAATATCATTTAATTCTATTCTGAACTATGATGCAAGGTTTAATTTCCTTTTTTCCTTAAAATATCAAAAGTAAAAGAAAATACTTCATAGATTTTATTTTGATTTTCCAAGAAATTGTTAGGATTTTATCCTTTCTAATACATTTGCCTCAGAGGCAAACACCTAAGGTAGTAAATGATGTAGAAAAAATGTAATTCACTAGAACACTCAAAGTCAATAGCCAGGGCCGGCGTGTGGCGAGCGAGCGGGTTAAGCCACCACCTGCAGTGCCAGCATCCCATATGGGAGCTGGTTCGTGTTCCGGCTGTTCCACTTCCAATCCAGTTCTCTGTTATGGCCTGGGAAAGCAGTAGAAGACGGCCCAAGTCCTTGGGCCCCTGCACCCGCGTGGGAGATCCTAAAGAAGCTCCTGGCTTCTGACTTCGGATCAGCGTAGCTCTGGCCATTGTGGCCATCTGGGGGAGTCAACCAGCGGATGGAAGACCTCTCTCTCTCTCTCTCTCTCTGCCTCTCTTTCTCTCTGGGTGTAACTCTGACTTTCAAGTAAATAAATAAATCTTAAAAAAAAAAGTCAATGGCCTAATGAACACAGCAGGCATTCTATCTAAAAACTTAACTATCACTGGAACATAATATAAGGTTTTTCTCCTTTGGACAGTCATTTATTTCTGTTTTTTGGAGGGCTTGAACGGTAAATAGTTGGAAATAAGACCAAAAATTTACTAAATTCAAAATAACCACATTTTTACATAGGAAACTTCTACATACAAGAGATCATTAATTAAATAAACACTGACATCAAAAACAACAGAGACAGGCCCATGGCCCAGCAGTTAAAACGTTGCTTGGAATACCCAAGCCTGTACTGAGCCCCAGCTCCACTCCTAATTCCAGTTTCCTGTGAATATGCACCCTGGGAGACAGCAGGTGATAGCTCAAGTAGTCAGGGCCAAGCCAGCCACTTGAGAGACCCAAATTGACTTCCTGGCTCCTGGTTTCAGTCTGACAAGTTCTGTCTATTTCTAGCATTTGGGGACTCCCAGGGGATGAAAGATCGTGTCTCTGTCTGTCTGTGTCTCTCTCTCCTTATACCCTTTAAATATAATTAAAATAAAGAAATAGATTTCTTTTTTTAAAAATTCAACAAATGGTTCAAAGCCTTAGTGCAAATTAAAAAAAAAGTGATAAAGACTCTTGAAGAAAATGAACCCTGATATGTTTAATTTCTATTTGAAAATACAATGAAGCAAGTATAAATTCAGGGAAACTGCATAAGCAAATAAAAGCTGAAATATAATCAATCAATGTTTCTCAAAAACCAACAAACATATTCCTTACTTCACTGAGCAGCAGAGGCAACCATTTCCAAGTTCCAGCCATTCTTCATAGAGCTCCCCACCTTGGCTGATGGCTAAGGATTTCTCCACTGCACTTCCTGGAACAGTTAACAAGGAGCCCTCTTCAGCCTTTGTTCACTAACCAACTCAAAATAAGCCTGAGAATACTCAACAAGGGATCAGATTTCAAAGCAGAAATCACACTTTGTAACTTTCATTCTATTCATGCAGCCCCAATGTTTAAATTATAGTACTCTAAATTATTTTAGTTTTAATTTCTCTCCTTACGAAGACTTAAGCTCCTAAAAAGGTAAATGAAAATTAATGAATATACCCTACTTCCTTTTTAGGCCTCTTAACTTGCCCACTCTTAGCTCTCAATAAAGTAGCCATAGGAAGGCATATTTTCTTGTCCATGTTAAGTGTTCTAGATGGACCAGTATATTTAGTTCTATATGCCCTTCAACCTCTTCAGAGCACCTTAACTTTCTTTTCCTTTTCATTCTGCCTCTAAATTGTTTGTTTCTAGTAGACAGACAGGCAATGCAGTATTCCCAATATGAGTAAAAACCCTAGCTCATTCTGAGCAAGGTATATGGCCAGAGTTTCATATACTTATTCAAAATATAAACTTTTAGTCAAATACATCTAAGTATCCCAATAATGCTCATCTGCTTGTTATCATATAAGAGTGATTTTAAGTGTTTTACTTTTCCTCCAGTAAGGCAACATTCCAAAGTCACAGAAGAACTCTAAATGTTCAGTAAAGTAAATGGCCAAAGAAAAAAAAGTAAGCAATTTTTCATTTATGCATTTTTTGGTTCATATTTCAGTTAAATGATAATAAAGAGTTTTCTACAGGGTTGTTATAGAGTTCAGGCTACCCAGAATATTAATACACAAACATAAAAGAAAGTACTGAGAATGCTATGAAGGAAGTAACTGTGAAAATGAGTCTGAAAAATAGTAAGAAATAATAGTAAATGCAATCAATGCACAACAAGAGGTCAGTTAATAATAATTAGGGCTGGCGCCGCGGCTCACTAGGCTAATCCTCCGCCTAGCGGCGCTGGCACACCGGGTTCTAGTCCCGGTCGGGGCACTGGATTCTGTCCCGATTGCCCCTCTTCCAGGCCAGCTCTCTGCTGTGGCAGAGAGTATAGTAGTATTCCTAATTATTATTATTTTTTTTATTTTTTTATTGATTTTATTTTATTTTATTTTATTTTTTTAACAGGCAGAGTGGACAGTGAGAGAGAGAGACAGAGAGAAAGGTCTTCCTTTGCCGTTGGTTCACCCTCCAATGGCCGCTGCGGCCGGCGCGCTGCAGCCGGCGCACCACGCTGATCCGATGGCAGGAGCCAGGAGCCAGGTGCTTTTCTGGTTTACCATGGGGTGCAGGGCCCAAGCACCTGGGCCATCCTCCACTGCCCTCCTGGGCCACAGCAGAGAGCTGGACTGGAAGAGGAGCAACCAGGACAGAATCAGGTGCCCCAACCGGGACTAGAACCCGGGGTGCTGGTGCCACAGGCGGAGGATTAGCCTAGTGAGCCACGGCGCCGGCCAGATGGTTCAAGTTAATTAGTCTCCCGACACCTCTGTGGAAGACATAGAATGTGCTCCTGGTACCTGGCTCCAGATCAGCCCTAGTCCAGCTGTTCTGGGCATTTGGTTAGTGAACCACCAAACGGGAGCCTTATTTATTTGTCTATTTGTCTCTCTCTTTCAATGTGTCTCTCTCTCATCTCTGCCTCTCAAATAAATAACAATTTTTTTAAAATTTTTTTCCAACGAAATCAATTTTAACACCGGGCTTCTCTTTAAGCTAATAAAAACTAGGTCTTCTATTCATCTGCAACTGAAAAATAGAACATTTACAAGAAATACTCTGATAAGAAATTATATTTTTTGACTAAAAGTGACCATTTATTAAAATTATACTTGTGAAGAAAATCAACAAAAGTAATCAGAGTAGTGTGTCTAACACTGCTATAGAGATTTACCTACATCTTAGCATCAAAGGCAAAAAGTTAAAAATTGCATACATTTTTCCAGATATTTTAGCTACTTTAAAAAATGTTTTTAATTTATTATCTGTTTCAGAGGATCAGAGACAGAGCTAGTGGAACAGGGCACAGAGAGACAACGAGAGAGAGAGAACATGCACTCTATCTGCTGGTTCACTCCCCAAACACCTGCAATGGCTGGGACCTGGGTTGAAGCCAAGAAGCAATCAAGGTGGCAGGAACCCAGTCACATGGGCCATCACCACTGCCTCTTAGGGTCTGAATTAGCAAGGGTCTGAATTAGCTGGAGCCAGGAGCTGGAACTGGAAATCGAACCCAGGTACTCCAATATGAGATACATGTATCTTATCCATTAGGCTAAAGACCCACTCCTTAACTTTAAAAACAAAACAAAACAAAAACTTCAGTTTTAACTGGTTTGTAGGTAATAAACATTCAACAAAATAAACATAATTTTATAATTGAAGCATTTTTCAACTTTTGTGAGCTGCAATAAATAAACAGTCAATACAGAAAGCACTTTTCTGTTTTTTGAAAAAACTCTAATGTGTTTAGCTTTTTGTTTCTGGAGTTATTTATTTCATTTAAAAATCTAATTTAATTCTGTTCCTATGATTTCCAAAAGTAATACAAAATAAAATTTTTAGAAACTGATGTCTGTATCACAAATCCATACAAAATAAAGCATGACAGAAATTAATACAATTTTTCCAAAGCTATCCACATCAACTTGCTCACATTATAGCACTTGGCATTTCATTGTCAAATATAAAACACCAGCCCACCAGTGAAATAATTCGTATTACACAGTCTTGCAACAAGACATTCATTGAACCCTACTTACCTTCCCCAAATTCATTTAAAATAACTGCTATTCTTTTACTATGTTGCTCTGTCAAAATATAGTTCAGAAGTGTTGTCTTCCCAGCACCTATAAAAATATATTTGTTTTAAATAACGAAACTCAAAAACTAATTGTAAAATCCAAAAAAAATACAGAGCCCTAGTGTTATCTTTCATACACTTTTATTAGAAGATTAAATGATCCTTTAAAAACTATTACAAATGTTTTATGTAGATATAAAATTTTATGTTTATAATACTCCTACAAGCAGAATCAATTTTTCTTCAACCTTCTTTATAATTTATAAGCAATGTAAGGATTTCTAAATTTCTTATTAAATGAGGAATTAATAAAGTATTGTCTTCCAAAGATATGCATATAGTTTATAAAACATAAAATATTTAAATCTCCTTAAATGATGACAATGTTTCTGGATCACAAATATATGTTTTACTTCTCTAAAATTTATATAGAAGATTATCAGTTGCTTTAAAATCCAACATTAACCATACACAAATTCAGACTGACTATATGGTTACCTTTAGTGTGGTTAAAACAATCTATAAAGTTGATTTTATGAAATGGGGAAAGGAGGTGTTAGCAATGAATAGAATACTCAGTTTCAGAAAATTCCCAAAGCTACTCTAAATTTCATCCAGTAGGTGGCGCATTAAACCTAATAAATTAATCTCAAGTAGAAAAACATCTGGTATGTGATTCATAAATATCAAAGTTCAAAGAGGCAAAAAAGAAAACTGTTTGGAAGAAGTTCAATTGTATGAATTTATCATGTATTTATCTATTTTTCTGTTGCTAGATATTTGGGTTCTTCCCAGTGTTTTCTATCGCAAACAGCACTGCTAAAAACTTTTGCAGGTAGTTTATACATTTTCTAAAACACATTTGCAAATTCTCCATGTTATAACTAGAAGGGATTTATAGAGTACTAGGATTTTTTTTTTTTTTTTTTTTTTTTGGACAGGCAGAGTGGACAGTGAGAGAGAGAGAGAGAGAAAGGTCTTCCTTTGCCGTTGGTTCACCCTCCAAAGGCCACCATGGCCAGCGTGCTGCGGCCTGTGCACCGCGCTGACCTGAAGGCAGGAGCCAGGTACTTATCCTGGTCTCCCATGGGGTGCAGGGCCTAAGCACTTGGGCCATCCTCCACTGCACTCCCTGGCCACAGCAGAGAGCTGGCCTGGAAGAGGGGCAACTGGGACAGAATCCGGCGCCCCGACCGGGACTAGAACCCGGTGTGCCGGCGCCGCTAGGCGGAGGATTAGCCTAGTGAGCCGCGGCGCCGGCCCAAGTACTAGGATTTTAATACATTCAATACCTTTAGGTCATATTCCTTTAAAAATCTTTTGATGAAATGAAGGCTTACATTGAGAGCATTTTAGGAAGTTCACAATTATAATGAAGGTGATACACAGAACAGAGGGACAGACTTTAAGAAGACAGGACAATGAGATTCTTGAAACTAGGCCAAGTATGCCTCAGAGGCTCTGAACATGAGTGGTGCACAATGCAGTGACTGAAAAAAATGAGTGGATGTAAGAAAACTAACGAAAGAATGATTAGGCCTTAATGCTCATAATTAGTCATATTACGAAGACAACAGGCTTTCAGACCATTCATTCATTCAAAAGCATCTATTATGAAGAATTTATGCTTGGCCTTGATGAAAAGCAAACAAGGGCAAAGACAGTCTCAGCCTTGATATAGCTTAGAAATATTAAGGGAGTGAGAGATGAATTCAGACAAAGCTACAATTACGTAACAGAATTCAAGAAAAGATGTACAAGATACTATGGAGAAACTAAGAGACTTCTAGCCAGAGTAGTAACATTAAAAAATGGATTCCAAGGAGCTAAGATCTAAATATAATTCAATGCGCCGGGCCACAGTTGGTCAAGAAAGAGAGACTGACAAAATCCACATCATACAAGACTTCCTAATTCATCTTAAGGGATCTGAAATTTAATTTGAATAGGAGGCACTGAAGGGTGTTTTATAAACCATATGACATTTATAGAGAGCTAACATATAGAAAATATAATAAAGAACAGCAAGACTCAAAGTTAGGAAGCTCTTAGTGTGTGTAGGTGGTTTTGGTTACATTCAGAAAGATGTTTGTAGAACATCAAATAGAACTATATGGGTTCGGGGCGCCGGATTCTGTCCTGGTTGCCCCTCTTCCAATCCAGCTCTCTGCTCTGGCCCAGGAGTGCAGTGGAGGATGGCCCAAGTCCTTGGGCCCTGCACCTGCATGGGAGACCAGGAGAAGCACCTGGCTCCTGGCTTCGGATCAGCGCGGTGCGCCAGCCATAGCGGCCATTGGAGGGTGAACCAACGGCAATAGGAAGACCTTTCTCTTTGTTTCTCTCTCACTGTCCAATGTGCCTGTCAAAAAAAAAAAAAAAAAGAACTATATGGGTGTGAGGGTGTGAAGCTAAAGGATGGAGGAAGGACTTAAAAAGAAGCCAGAGAACAGAAATATCAAATAACAACATAACAGGAGTCAACTGAATAGTAACTGAAAAAGAGAAAACAGCCAAGGATAAGAAGTGAAACTATCCCCTAGACAGAGCAACAGGAAGGCTCCCAGCTAAGTCTTCATTCTTGAGCTTCAAGCCTTACTTCCAATATTCTGCTGAGCAAAACGGGGAAGACCAGAGGCGCATGGCCAAAATATACCATCTCAAAGAACGAGCTCAACTTCTCAGTGAAGCAGCCACTACATTACAACAGGAAAATACCAAAAACCAGTTATTTTATAAAATTAGTCCTGAGGAAAAACGGAAATAAAATACCGTCTTAACAAAGAAAAAAAGAGGAAGGGGGAGGGAGCATCAGTGATCTAATTCTCATTTTTATATAAAAGACCCTCAGGTGTCCCAAATCCATACTTGTCTCCAGCAGCATCTAGGAATAGCATTAGTTCCTCGAAATAGTATTACTCTATCTACATCTCTTAACTTTTTCCGCACTTTTAATACAGTTCTGTGTTTATTCTAGCCCTGCTACTTAACTGCATGGTTTTAAAACAGTTCTCAAACTTTCCCGACGAAGACCCTCTGGTGTGAGGACATAAACTGCGTTTCGGGAAGCCGTTCCATGTTCTTACACCTGGTTTCAGGTAGCCCTGTGCTTTCCCAAATGTCTTCAGTTTGAGACACAGTCCTGGAGGCGAGATTTTAATTGTATTCTTACTCTTTCTCCCATAGCTATCGGCAAACTGACCTCAAAAATAAATAAATAAATAAATAAATAAATAAATAAATAAATAAAAGCAAGCCTGAGATAGGAGTGTGTACTTCCCACCATCGGCTGCTCGAGCGTGGAGAATCTCTTGAGGAACCCCCATTTGTCGGGCTTTTAACAACCAGGGCCCTTTAAGGGCAACAGACCTAGTAAGTAGATGTCCTGCCCGCACCTTGCATAAGAGAAAACAAGCTCAGACAGGTGATCGATAGAATTTCATGTTCGGGTGAGAGCAGATGAACTTCAGAAGCGTAAGGCGACTTGCCAGAGGTCACAAGGATAATTAGGGGCACTAACTACTGCAATGGCAACAGCCTGATTTCAAAACGTAGGCTAGCTTTCCGTCTAACTTGAGAAATGTGAACCTACCGCGGACGGCTCTGGACATCACTAATACCCGGACAACACAGGCAACCCACGAGGAGCAACGGACCCAGGCCCTGCCTGACAACAGCTCTCGGCCAGGGGGCCACAGGGCCGAGTGGACAAAAGGCACCGGCAGCCCCCAAAATCCCGAGGTCACGGCATTTTCTGACCGGGATGGTTAGTTACCTAAATACCCTGTGATAATTGTGACTGGGATCTTGGCGCCGGGGCCATACTGTTCCTCCTCCTCCTCCCTTTGCTTCGTCTCAATGGGAACCAACTCAGGACAATCCTCCTCCGCATATTCCTCTTCCTCATCCACAGCTCTCACAGCCTGTAACATCTCCGACCTACAGCCCGAGTCCAAGAGCTGGGTCCAAGTCCGAGGCCGCAGCGGCGCGCGCGGAGCACTCGCTGCCAGGCCCGAGCCAGACGTCATCACACCGCGACGCGTGGCCCCTCCCGTACCCGCCCCATTACCTGGGCTCCAGTACGGGTTCCCATGGCCACGCCCCCAGAGGAGCGAGGCACGCCCCTGTGGAAGCTGGTCCCGCCCCCGGGGCGTGTTCCCGGAACCTGAGCGAGGCCGCGCGCGGTTGCTAGGGCGCTGCCACTGTGGCCCCCGCAGTCTCGATGACTATTGGCTGTTGGTTAAGGACGAGGACAAGCTGGTTGGAACCTGGAGTGGGAGGCTCTCTATTAAAAACTTTGTTTTAATTCATGAGGGAAAGAATAGAAGGTTGTAACTCTACAATTTTAATAGTAGTTTTTCTACCTGAAAGCTAACAGGGAAACTTTTATAATATATATTATTTATAATATATTATATATTGTTTACAAATATATATTTATTATATATTATATATTTGCTATAGTATGTAATATGTGAATAAATATTCATATGTGAATATAATATATTCAAATTGTTACACACATTACTTTTATTTTTCTCTCTCTTTTTTTATCTGGACCTCAGGGAACTTGAGTTCATGAATCATATTCCTTGGTTTATGACACTCCCCCTTGCCTAACTGATGAAGAGCATTCCTTTATATTTATATGTGTGTTATCAGTGGGCTCTTTGGCTTCATCCCTAACCCAAGAACATCACAGTAAGTTACACCTCCCTTTGTGTCTCTCCCCTATCCCAAGCCTAGTCTCTCCCCCAAGATAGCAACCTCAGCATGAATTGGTTGCTGATCACTACCTCTCTGCTGTTTAGTTTATCACTTTTGTATATATTTAGACAATACACTGCTTAATTTTGCTTGTTTTTGAATTTCAGGAAAATAATACAGTATGTAATCTCCGGAGGGTTTGCTCTGTTTTTCAACTCCACTGCTGTATTATATATATTCCCTGTGTGACTCTACAGCAATTTGTTTTTCCATTTCCTGTCAATTGTTTTCAGTTTCGCTCTTACAAACTGGGCGGCCGTGACCATTTTTCCAGGTGTATGTGTGCTCCAGTTTCTCTTGTACATCTAAGTAGGAGTGGAATTGCAGGGTCTTAGGCAATACAAATGCTACACTTTACAAGGTAATGTGCAATTATTCTTTCAAAATACAAAAGTTAAAATATGCTTCCTCAAAAAACTAAAAAAAAAAAAAGAAAGGGAGAAGGAAAGAAGGTGGGAGGGGAGGAAAGGGGACAAAAAGGGAGGGAAGAAGGAAAGGGATAGCATTATGTTCTCAGAATTGTATCTACAAAGCACATTGAATCTGTTAAAAATGAAAATGAAAAATTTTTTAAAAATACAAACTTGTACAAATGCATACATTTCCCCAACACTGTATGAGACATCTCTTGATTTATATGTGTGTCAATATTGTCAGATGTTAATTTTTTACCAATCAGTTGAGTACAGCATAATACTCTTGTGCTCTTCATTTGCATTTCCTTGATTACTAACAAGTTGAGCATATCTTCATGTATTTTGCCCATAAATTATTCTTAGGACAACCTTAGGAAGCGTGATTATCCCCTTTCTTTCTTTCTTTTTTTCTTTTTTTTTTTTTTTTACAGATTTATTTACTTGAAGGTCAGAGTTACACAGAGAGAGGAGAGGCAAAGAGAGAGAAAGAGAGAGAGAGAGAGAGAGAGAGAGAGGTATTCCATCTGCTGATTCACTCCCCAGATGGCTGCAATGGCTGGAGCTGTGCCTATCCGAAGCCAGGAGCCAGTAGACTCCTCTGGGTCTCCCATGTGGGTTAAAAATTTTTTTAAGATTTATTTTATTTATTTGGAAGACAGAGTTACAGAGAGAGGTAGAGCCAGAAAGAAAGAAGGTCTTTCATCCACTGGTTTACTTACCAGATGGCCACAACAGCCGGAGCTGCGCTGATGCAAAGCCAGGAGCTAGGAGCTTTTTCTGGGTCTCCCACGTGGGTGCAGGGGCCCAAGGACTTGGGCCATCTTCTACTGCTTTCTCAGGTCACAGCAGAAAACTGGATCGTAAGTGGAGCACCCAGGACTCAAACAGGTGCCCATATGGGATGCGGGTGTTGCAGTCTGGGGCTTTAACCCACTGTGCCATAGCACCAGCCCCATAAATAAATCTTTAAAAAAAAAAACTTTCTTCAGTCTTTTTCTATATTCCTTTTCAGCAAAGTAGCATCCATTTTCCTTTCTGACTTTACAGAACTGACCAGCACCGCAGCCCACTTGGCTAATCCTCTGCCTCTGGCACCGGCACCCCAGGTTCTAGTCCCAGTTGGGGTGCCGGTTCTGTCCTGGTTGCTCCTCTTCCAATCCAGCTCTCTGCTGTGGCCCGGGAGGGCAGCGGAGGATGGCCCAAGTCCTTGGGCCTGCACCCGCATGGGAGACCAGGAGGAAGCACCTGGCTCCTGGCTTCGGATCGGCACAGCAACGGCCGTAGCAGCCATTTGAGGGGTGAACCAACAGAAGGAAGACCTTTCACTCTGTCTCTCTCTTTCTCACTGTCTAACTCTGCCTGTCAAAAAAAATAATAACTACAGAACTAAGCAGTTTGAAAAGGTGTTTTTATTTACACAGGACTGTTACTTGTAAACTCATTTCTCCTTTGCTGAGTATGACTTTTTTTAATTTTGACACATTGCCAGTTGTATCTATTCTGAGTGAGACTTTGCCTTTGCTATTTAATTCAAAATGCCTTTTAAAAACTGTAGAAAGAAATTCCTAAGTATACTATGATAGAATCGATTACAGCTTCTAACATAGCTTAAAATTTCCTCCCCATTTAGCTTTGCTATTTTGCTTATTCTTATTCAACTTATGGTAAAATAATAACAACAGCAATAAGAATATGTTAAACCCTTACCATTTGGTAGGCAGTGTGGTAAAATAAACATGTTAAATGCATTATCTTCATTTGACTCTTTCCAGGAAATAGTGTTTGTATGCCCATTTTATAGATGAGGAAGCAGAGGCTTACTACAGTTAAATATCTAGTTCAAGGTAATATGCTCAGTAAATGGTAACCCTTTGGCTCAATCCAGATATGCCTGACACTAAATTCCGTGTGCTTTGAAACAATCCAGAGATCTACAAACATTTTCTGTAAAACCAGATAGTAAATACTTTAGGCTTAACTGACCAAAAAGCTAATTTGAGCATATTGGGTAGATATTTGCTAATAAGAAAATAAATTTCTGTAAAGTTTGCAATTTGAATATCACAAAATCTTCAAGTCATGAAATAATAATTTTCTCTTAATTTTTTAACCTATCACAGATGGGAAAACTATTCTCAGCTTGCAGAGCATACAGAAAAAAAAAAAGGAAACAGGCTGTATTTTGCCTAATCGTGATCTAAGCTAGTACTTATATAATGTCCTGTTTTGTTAAGATGAAATTAAATGAAATTTTGCAGAAATAGTTGATCATCCTTGCTATGTTAAACTCAGTTTGTAAATCATTCACCCTTGCAACAATCCCATATTCTCAGGGTGTTAGGTACCAGAGTTGCCATAGAACTGATACCCAGGGAAAGGTGGAAGATAAGAAACTTCAACTGTTTGTCCAAGGCACTGCCACCTGGCCCGAAAGAGACCTGAGGCAACACCTGGGTCTTGGCGTTGCATTTGGACCTCTCACGGGTGCAGAGCAGAGCAGATAAGCCCCCTGGCTGTCTGGGTTGCAGCAGCCCAGTTTTGTGCCAGTGACCGTACTGGTGCCTTTGGCAGAATTCCACGCTACTCCTGCCACTTGGCTTTCCCCTGGAGTGCAGATGTTAGCTGCCATGAGAGACCATAATGACAGCAGATACCTCCAAATCCGAGGACAAATAAAGAGAATGCCATATTGGTTTTGTTCTTTTCTCTTGCTTTTGCAACTTCCTGCTAAGGAAAGAACACACTAGTGGCCAGCAATAGTAACTGGTCAGAGAAAAGGAAACAGTGGGTTTCAAAATTAATCCACTTCCTCTTCTCTAACTGAAGCGAACACTTTCTAAATGTTTAATGTGTGTTAGTTATTTGATGTTTTCATTAAACACATGTGAAATTGTTAGGAAGGTATCTGAAAGGCGAGGCGAATGACTTGCATTCCTGAGATTGTTTTACGTAAGGCAGACTGTACACATATCAGTCCCCTCTAGTCCTCTGTGAAGACATACAACCACTGCAAGGACGTGGAATAACATTCTCTCTGCAGTTTACTGAAGGTAACTAGCAGGTGAAATAGCATTTCAGTGTTTTTAGGGAGCATGATTTTTCATTTCAAATCTATCAGGAATGTTCCTTGAATGCATTATCTTTGCACAGCTAAACCAGGCAATTAAGACTTTGCGAGTGGTCCAGTCAATTGTGAATTAGCTTTCCACAAAATAAAAAAAGAAAATACTATTCAAAGCCTGCAGGCTGACCAAATTGAGTGGCACAATATTCTCTCTAAATATACTATCAAACCAGGAGTAGGGATTTAGCAAAACCAAAACAAACAAAACCAAACAAATTGTGCAATGATTTATGTTGTAACAGTGTAGGAGACAGTCTGAAGAGTATCCTCTCCTTTCCTACCGTCAATAGAAACTTAAAACTGACATTTGCAGCTCATTTGAGTTTCATGTTCCAATTTTTACAATTTTGGAGAAGTGTACTCCAAATTCTACAGGCATTCACTTGTGATTTCTTAACTGTAAATAAAAGAACAGAAACAGATGAAACACCTCCTTCCTCCTTCCTCTTGCCATTCTGCCCAGTTTCCTCAAAGAGTGTTTGACTGCACCTGACATGCTGAGCTGTTGGCAAAGTCAGTTGTTGCTGGCTTCAAGGACACTGTATTCTGGTTCCCACAGCTCTGTTTTTCAGTTTGTCATCGTCTTGGTCTCTTTACGCTTCTACAACAAAATATCTGAGCCTGGGCAATTTATAAACAGTGTCGATCTGTTTCTCCCAGTTCCAGATACTGTGAAGGCCAATATCAAGCATCCACAGGCTCACCGTCTGGTGAGGGCCCAGCTCTGTT